AAGATCTTTTTTTTTCCCGCGAGAAGTTGAAATTAACTGATTGATTGAACTTTTTTTTTTTTTGCACACGACAGCGGAGGCCTAAAGCGAAAAGGTTTTATAAAACCCAGCTGCAGGCCTAGGACTGGGGTGACGGCGCGCGTGCCCACAGAGAGGGCTCTGAGTGCCGCCTCTGGCACCCGTGCCATAGGTTCGCCACCACGGTCATATACCATAATATGTGAATATAACCCTGTAAATCTCATATCTCAGTATCTATTTTGAGGCTTATCTCTAAAACTACCACAAAACAAGAAGTGGTTGGGAATAACTCCAAGATAAAGAAAAAATGATATTTCCAAATGCTATATTGAACATTTTTGAGCCCCATTATATTTCAGTTTGGGTTCTTCTTTAAGGCCTTTCTGCCTTTTATGTTCAACACATTTCTGAAACCTTCGGTCTAGCTGGTTATCAGACTATTGTGGCTCTATTTCCCCTCTATCCTGTGTTTTGTTATGATAAGTGTTTTAATCTGTTTCAATAATACCATCTTTACGTTAGACTCATCAATTTTTTCATTGTGGATTGAGATTCTGAACAGGTGAACAGAGGATTCTTCACAAAATATATTTTTGAAGAACAAAATGCAATGGTAGGAAAAGAAAGCAATAAAAATGACCTGTTTGATCTAATACAAAAGAGAATGCAAGGAGGGTACAATCAGATCTTTATCTTCTGATTCCAGGTGCCAAGTGACCATGGATCTAGTAGCACCTCATGCAGTCCGGAGTGGAGCACTCACTTAGAGTTCAGCACTCATCCTACAGGTAGGCTGGGTACAGGTATCCAAACCCAAATCCAAAAAAACTGACCATTCTTATTTGAAATTAAAGTTATACCACATTGTAACTCTCTGCCAACTTCCATTCCTGTACATTTTAATATACACACATTTTTGATACTTTTTCCATGACCTACAGACAGAAAGAAAATCATGCAATGATAAAACATTTGTGTTTCTTAAGAAATAGCAATAAGTTTTCAATTGTAAAGAAGATTATAGGCAACTGTGCTTTTTTAGAAGCAAGTGTTGTGTGTGAGACCTGGAGATCCTTCTGAAGATTGGAATCATATAGTGTTCTCTGAAAAACAACAGAAATCCCTCAACTTAGATTTTAAAATAAGCTCCATAAAATAAGGAACTGCCTTATCTGTGATATTTATCCACAAGGAGCCCTGGTGGCACAGTAGTTAGGATACAGTATTGCAGGCTAACTCTGCTCACAGTCTGGATTTCGATCCTCACCTGCTCAAGGTTGACATAGCCTTCCATCCTTCCGAGGTTGGTAAAATGAGGACCCAGATTATTGGGGCCAATATGCTGGCGTTGTAAACTGCTCAGAGAATGCTGTAAAGCACTATGGGGCGGTATATAAGTCTAAGTGCTATTGTTATAACTAAGGAAGTTTATTTAAATTGATCTTTTTGATACAACATAAATGTTAAGAAATAAATGTATAAATTGAACCTCTTCAAGTGAAGCCAACAAAGAACAAAAAACTCCAATAAGCAATGTTATATTTGGGAATTATTAATGACCAAGTCCAAATCTCATCACATGGCCAGTATAATTTGCAATGTTTATGTTTTTTCAGTGGTCCAACATTGTAGCTGTCATACTGGTCTCTCCAACTGATTTGAAACTAAGAAAAAGGAATGACATTTTTCTATATTTCACTGACAAGGATGACTGTTGGCCCTACTTTATTAAGCACAGTGGTGCACCTGAAAAGATTCTGAATGGCTAATCCACTCTAGTTTAAAGTTAAATAATTTTTATCACTTATTCTAAAGCTACTAATCAAATATACTACCTGGAAACAGGCCGATACTTTTAATATAGTTCTTCTCCAAGTGGCCATTAATATGTGAATGCGTAATTTTATATACTGACCAATCCATCTTTTCATGATTCCCGAATTCTTCATTTTTTAGATGCAATACATTGTAAAAATACATTGAATGACTTTAATAATCAAAGTGATATAAAGTATCTTAGAAACAGACAAAACTATGACTGAATCCCACCACAAGGTGTCTCAGATTTTGATTCTATCATAAGATCTCCCCTCCTTCCTATCTTGTCCAGTGGCAATTGGGTTTTTCAGAAAAGGCTCTCTACTTAAAATGACTCCCTTGTTCTCCACAGATCACTTGCTCAGTGATGATTCTTCTGAAGACCGCAATCTTCATTCTCTGACTTCAATTGTGGATAGTATTGTGGTAGAGGATGTGGCTGTTGCGTTCCAGGAAGAGAGGTCTCAGAACTGAAGCAGCAGCCAACAGTGGCCATATCTTCACTTTTTTGTCATCTCCAGCACATTGTAAAATAGAAGAAACAGGATACTAGGATATTATAATTAGGAGATATTTCTACTCTCACTAATACTGAATGATATTCCAAATAGGGAGGAATTCCCAGCTAACACTGGAAGGCATTTCGTTTCCCAATACTGACTGTTCTAGATAACAAATGAAGCCACTTATCCAATTCCATATGTCTGAAAGTGGTTTTGTTTTTGTCCCCCAAACCTAGGCAAGCTAGTGAGAAAGATGCCTAATCATACTCATTTAAGTTTCTGCCTGGTTTTCAAAGAGAATATTGTGATTTCAAAGAAAAAATGTGGATCTGAATAGGATGTCCAATGTCATTTGATGTATTATTGCAAACACTAATTAAGGCTGAAAGAAATAACAGACAGCATGCTAAGGAAGAATTTGTTTCATTCCCGGATTTTAGAAATGTTGTTCCTTTGGGGGCCAATTTTTTTTTATTGTGGGTGTGTGCAAATGTTGTGTGTGTTTTAAAAAGATGCTATTCGACCAACTTCTTTTGGCAGTTAGTTTGCAATTTCCAGATGCAAAAGCTATAGAAAATGCTGCCACTAAAATCTCTTCTCTCTCTCTCTCTTTTATTTTTACTGTGTGCAGTTACCATTTTTGTATTTTGCTAATTTATTGTGAGATTTTTTTAAATAAAAAATAAAGGTTTTCTTTGGTTAAATTTATTTTGAGATGGCATGGAATGCTCTCTTGGTTTCTTTTTGGAAGTACTAAAAATACTCCTTGAAAAAGCAATGTATTTCATATAAATTATATTCTCTGTATATCTTTTGAACCCAGCCTTTCCCCTTCCAGTGCTACATTTGATACATCCACTTTTCTTTGCCAGCACAAAACAGTACAAAATGGTGATGAATCTCCAAGTAAAAAGAGAGACACTTTTAAGTATTAGACCTCCCAGGCTAATTTGCTCTAATTATTATTATACATATTCTAAAAGAAAACACGGAGGGAGGACAGTTCTATGAAGATGCCATTCTAGGAATAGCACTGATTTTCTTGTTGATTACCTTACAAAATTAATGGGAATACCTAGGCAGAATATCAGTCCATTTTTTTCATGAAAATTTACTCTGTGACTTTGGGCCAGGCACTCTCTTCAGACTCCAATCACTGGGTTCTTGTGGGGGGAAAATGGAGGAAGAAGTGTTATGTATGCTGCCTTGAATTCCTGAAGAAAAAGTGGGATATACAGCTAACAAATAAATATAGGTGTATAATGACTTATATAGATGTACAATCAACTTATTCTTATTCTGAGGCTATTTGAAAAACATGAGGTCATTTAGTTTTCACTGCAACCCTCTGAGCCCATATTTCCCTAAAAGAATACTAGTTAGAAAGAGCCATGGAAATACTAGGAATAGCAATTCATTTTTTAAAAATGTAATAATATCACAGCAGTGTTGTAGTCATATTGTATACTGTTATTTCCCTTATTTCCTTCCCTGAAGCTAAAATTGAGAGCTACTATATAGCCAGCATAATTTTTATCCATTAAATCATAAAGGAAAAAAGGTAGGGCATTGGATATTTTTACTCAACAAGCTCAATCGAAAAAGGCAAGCTAGACACTGAAAAATAATGTTGCAAAATGTGCTTTCAACGTTAATTCAGAAACATGTGTCAACTATTAGCAGTCTAAGATACAATTCCCCTTGTCTGCAGTGTATACTGGTAGAAAAACAACAGAAATAGCACATAGTTGTGAAATTGACAAAAGAAGTCAGCACATCCACAGAGACAAAATGTTCTGTGCAGGTCACCCAACAGAGGTGTCTACAGCACTGAGCTCATCTTGCCTGAATACCTCATTGCTAAAAGAAAATGGTCGTGTTATTAACATGACCGATCTACAGTAAAACAGCATATTGAACAGTATCAAGCTATGACATCCACTTTTATTCTCCTACTCAGCCAGAGAAATAGGGGAAGCCCCAGGCAGCATTTGAGGGACTGCCTGTCCTCAGTCACAATACCCATCGCACCAGGTGCAGCAAGAGGGGCATGTTACAGGTCCTGTCTGCTAAAGCTCTCCATCTAACAGGACCCTGAGATCAGCCTTTTCTGCTGTAGAACCCATCCTTTGGAACATGATTCCCCCAGAGGTAACCCCAACTTTATTGTCCTTCCGGAAATCTCTTAACGTGTGTGGTGGATTTTTTTTAGCAAGTCTGGGGATTACCATGGTAATAAAGAGACCACAGTATGGCTATATTATATGTGAGATTTTGGTTTGTGATCTTATTTATATTTTATGTGAATTGTTTTAATGATTAATATTTTTGTTGGTTTTATTGTACATTACCCAGTCACATTAGTAAGATGGGCAATTATATAAATTTTATATACTGTGATGATAGATAGATAGATAGATAGATAGATAGATAGATAGATAGATAGATAGATAGATAGATAGATAGATAGATAGATAGATAGATAGATAGATAGATAGATAGATAGATAGATAGATAGATAGATAGATAGAGAGAATAAATCTTCCAACTGGAATAAATAAATGAGATAAACCTTCCAGTTTGACTACATTCATGATAAGATTCTAAAAAGAGACACTGCATTCACGTAGAAGACAAGTATGAATCAATCAGCCTTGCTTTAAAATCAGATTTATTGGAACACACATACACCCATTCCTGACCTATTTGCAGGGTTTGGAATCCATGCAGTACCAATATAACAAAAGAAAGAGATTATTCATATAAAGGGGTCACTTACTCTGTAAATTAAAAAAATATTTAATACTGTATTAGGCAAGTCGTACACCAAAAAAGACATTGCAACTGTACAGTCTCTTGGATATTGCACTTTCAAACAGCACTGTAGGAATATATGGCATTCCAGCCACCAAGAAATACCACGTCAGTAATAGGGGGGGCACACAAGGCAAAAGGCATCATGAAGAGACAAACAGATCCTACCCTAGGAGAGAGAAATAGTAACAGCTAAAATTTTGTGGGGATCACAGGCTACCTGTAGATGCAGAGAGAAGGAAAGGGAATTTTCTATCTGTCTATGTGAAAAAGAGAGTACTCCTGGTACAGAGATGTCCAAGAACATCTTCTGCTTTCCCAGTATTGGGTTTCATTTTCTTCCACACATGAACATGGGATCTAAGAAAAGCCCATACAAAACTTGCTTGGTAACCAACTTCTCTCCATCAAGCACCAGTCCATTTTGTTTCTAGCCTGGGTATTTCTTAACTGAGGACCTATGTTGTCCATGGACAGAAATGTCTTGTGGTGCGATGAGAAGCTCCAGCAGAAGCCCAATGCACCTGAGGAAGAGTTCAGAGCTGGGCTTTCCCATCTTCATTTGCCTTGTTTCTTGGTGATTGTCTTATTAGGTCCAAACTGTACAGTAGGAACAAGCAGCTTCTGCTGCTCTCAGGCATAATGGCAGAGTGTAGCACAGGCAGACAATGGTGCAGGAACTGCTGCAGACCAGCATTAAGGTGCACCCACTTCTTACCAAACCTATGTCAAAATCATTGTGTCATACATAGTGCAGACTTAGAGACAGAGAAGCCTGTTCTCTTTCTCAATGAGGGTATCTTTAAAGCCAAGGGAAAAGATTTAATTGGGAGTTAAGGATACAAACAGGAGATCAGGGGGTTGTATACAAGCAGGAGGAAGAATGTTCTGCTGGCCATGAGGCCTAAAATGATTGACCAGTAGCTTCTGTTCTTTGGAGCTAAAGGAGCAGGCATAATCTCCTACTCCCGGAAAGCAGCCAGCATGTAACCATAAAGATAGTGGGAATGTGCTGCAAAAGATCAGAAATAATGAGATAATTAAACTTCAAAAAGAAAGGAAACTGTACTGTGAAAAGTTTCTCTGCATTTGTTTTCATTCTCAACTGGCAATCTAATTTTGCTTTACAACAGCAATCAAGGTCGTCCTGAAATATGTAGTGCTTGTTGACAAAATCATTTCACCTTCTGTGCCTAGGCACTTTCCAGTAGAATTAGGACCACAATTTTTAAAACTGCATGCTTTCAGGGTCAGTGCTAATATATTTCAAGGGCACCTGCCTGGAAAGAGTTCACCTATAGTGTTTTAAAGGAATATCGAGAAAAACTGATTTAGCTTTATGTTCTCATCCGGCTCCTCCAATAACTCTATTCAGTAGGGCCAGATCTAAAGGGTGGCAGGCTAGGCATCTGCAAAGGACTGAATTCGAGTGAAGGGCCCACACTACTGAGAACACATGGGAGAAACTCCTGGTTGATGCCTCTTTCCTCTGTCAGGTTACACAATTCCATTAAGGAAACCTCACCTGAAACCTCCAAAACAGTGTAGCTGGCACACCACATCACTAGGCCTTTATTGAAGAGGCAGAATGCATTCTGTATTGATAAACATAGAACTCAGCAGAACAAGTGGTAGGCACAAGCAAAGAAATGGGTGATGCAGCTAGAATGCCCAATAAACAGGGCCGAGTCTGTTTTTGTCTCTGTTATCAATATCAGTGTTGATGTTGCCTTGGGGAGGAAGGGATAAAGTTTGCTATCTTTATCCAACAGCTGTCATCTTCACTTCCACAGAGACCTTCCCCGCCTTTATTCAGCACATTCCTAATGTTCCCTCCTCTTTGTTATTATAACCCCCTAAGATTTTGTGGACATTTCAGCCACTTGTATCTCTTATAGCATGTAACCAAGCTGATCAGTAGCCTGCTGTGTGGAGTAAACATCCCCAGTAATCTGGAATAGAAGAAGGTGCTTAAAAGCTCTACTGTGGTAACTGATATGTCCTCATTGCAAATGTTATATTTATTAAACTGGTTTTGAATACAGTTTCCTTTTAATAAAACTTTTGAAAAAATTATTTATTTCACTCTAGGATATTGCTATTGTTATTGATATTATAGCCATTTAAAGGCTATTCTTTTCTATATAATTTAACTTAAAATATAACTCTCTCATAGACTATTAGCATCTCATAAATTCGTTATTTTATATAAAAGGTCAGTTAGTTTTATCATTTCCTTGTTAGCTCATATTTATAACAACATTCCTTGATTGGAGGTGGAGTGCTTTTTTTACTATTGTCTCTTGAAAATTAAATGTAGGGAGAACTGGTTTATGGCCTGCTTAAACATGAAGACATGGATCAAACAGATTATTATAAGATAAAACGGATTAAGCCATGCCCAATAATAGGTTAAAAAAAGATCTGAGTTTAGCAACATGAAGGTAAAGAACTGAATTTGGAACAGGTAGTCCTTGGCTTTCAACCAAAACTGAGTCCAAAATTTTTGTTGCTAAGCAACACAATTGTTAAATGAGTTTTGTCTCATTTTATGACCTTTTTTGCCACAGATGTTAAGTGAATCATGCAACTGTTAAGTTAGTAACATGGTTGTTAAGAGAATCTGGTTTCCCCATTGACTTTGCTTGTCAGAAAGTCGCAAATGTGAACACATGACCTCAGGACCCTGCAACTGTCATAAATAAGAGTCAGTTGCCAAGTGTTTGAACTTTGATCATGTGACCAGGGAATGGTGCAACAGTCATAAGTGTGAAAAATGGTCATAAGTCACTTTTTCAGTGCTGTTGTAACTTTGAAAGGTCACTAAATGAATTGTTGTAGTTGAGGACTACCTGTACTTCAAGAAACACCCAGTTCCATCCATTATTTTCTGGATCCTCTATGGAATATGAAGAGTCTGCTTGTTCTGTCCTAGTTACTAAACTTACCTGGAGCCTTGGCCAATTCCCACTGGAAATTGCATTTCAGCAGGAATATGTCCGAACTGTGGATGTTTCCAGCCTTTGGGACCCAGGTGCACCAACTGCAAACCATTTAGCACAGCACACAAAAGCATGCAATTAGTGGGGTCAACAAGCTCTCATGCAAAGCACGTTATTAAATTTTGGTTGCCTGTTGATGACTGCCTAGTTTGGCTTATTATGGGTTTCAGAATTTAGGTGCATTTCTCAGCAGTTATTATATTTAAATAAATTACTATCCAATGAACTTAAAAGACATGAAATACATAATCCTGGTCTCAACAAAACATGGCTTTAGAATATGGTAACAGAGATTTTAAAACAGTGAAGAAATGGTATTAATAAACCTGAAAAGTAGTGAAATGAATTTCAGAGTTTATGATGGCGGAAGTAGGCATCCACGGAAATTGTTAAAATTATTTTAGAATCCAAATACTTTTAATTTCTTCCAGATGTTACTTAGTTTCTTTCTTCCAGATGTTAAAAACAAACCAACAAATATAATGTTTATTTGTTTGTTTGTTTGTTTGTATGTCTGTATCCCACCTTTATTCTTTTTACAAACAACTTTACAAAGGCGGCAAACATATTAGCAACTAATCAGTAAATAACATTTTTGTATTAGAAGCTTCTAATAAAGTAATTTGTTCTTTCCTTACCCCAATTAAGGCAACTAAGCAAATGCTCTGCATGGAATTCAGATATATGTTTTTCAGAAATTCTTAATTATTCTTCTATCTTTTTCTCTATGTCAAACCTCTGCTATATTAATATCAGGTTCAAGAAACTCAAATAAAGGCTTGAATGTTTTGGGAGTAAAAATTCAATGCAAAATATCTACCTAGTAGTTAGGGTGGTGCTTAAAAGAACAGACCACTGGGCTGCATGTCAGCAGAAAATACGTCATGCACACCAGGGAGGGTCCAGAAAAATCTTCTGAGTTTTTAGAATGGTGTAATTCATGTCTCATGAATAATAGTAGAGTTTCACCCTACCTTCTGGTGGCATTTTCTTCGGTGGTGCTGAAGGAGGTGGCAGAGGCACCAAAGAGGTCACTCGAAACCCTGCTGGAAGTGTTTCTGCTGACCCACTAACCATGGTGATACTGTGAAAGTCTCGAGGGCGGAAACGCTTTCGCCAAGAAGGAGTTCGCCGAAAAGTCTTGTCTTCACCCTACAAAGAAAAGGATACTTACATCATATATTGCACAGAGAAATGCTGGCTGGAGAATTCTGGGACCTGAAGTCCACACGGCATAAAGTCACCAAGATTGAGAAGCACCATCTTAGATCATAGATAAGCTCTGTTCTGCTGAAAGAGTTTAAATTAACCTAAATCAAATGTTCTACGCAGAATTGTTATGTTGCTGGAATTGTTTTTTATAAGCAACCCTCCCTCACAGATCTAAAAGAAGAGAAAATAGCGTATGTTCTGCCAATCCTAAGGCTTTGTCCCTCAAGAAATAAGATGGCTTCAGTTTCAATTTTTGCCTCACTACCTAATTTTACAATAACTCTGTCACCCCATGCATGTTTGCAATGTGGAAGTGCCCTCTTCAGCTTTTCCTTCACATAACTGAATATCACAGTGAACCTCCCAGGAGATAACTACAATATCAGTCCTATTCCAGATCTTCAGTTGCTTCATCAATTTCCTAACTGATAGTATGAGCACAATATTTCTTAAATTCCCATCACATTTTAGTAAATATTTTATACTCACATCATCAAGTCGTCTGTCAGTACCCAAGGCAAGAAGATTGTTAAATTCTCTCTCCATCACTTGCCGTGCCTGTAAACAACATCAAATAATGCAATAGAAGCAATAGAAGCCAAATAAAACTACTAATGCACATTATTTATTAACAGAACCAAAGAAGATAACTTGATATTTATACTAATAGATCTCTTCGTTCTTTCTGGTGGACCAGCAAGATTTCCCTTGTAACACAAAAGTAGGTTTCTATATATCTATTTGCATAACTTTAGTATATGGCTCAGCAGTTGTGGGAGACTACCAGATCCAACTAGAGTGTTTTTACTGCATGTGATTTCACTCATCATTTTTAGTTTAATTGCTCCTGTTGGTGGAACTTAGTGCAAATAAATTAGATCTCACAAACAAGAAGCTTATCACTCCTGGCCTAGGCAAATCAATTGCCTCCATTTAGTTCAGCATTCTATCTTTAAAAATAACAATACAAAAGCCTTTGTGAGTGTTAAAAAAAAGATGCATTCATCCATATCTATACACCTGAAAATCGGGACTCTGATTGGTTCAGTTCTCATAACAGTATAGAGATACAGAAAAAGGATTTCATAGACAGATTTGGAAGGAACAGGTAAGATAAGCTTTCAGTCTCATAGATTCTGGCTTCCCTTAAGTTGAAGAAATGTGTGATTGAAATAACTTATAGTATAACAAAGGATTTTTTATTGTTATCATTTCTATTTAATTTAACAGTGTTAGATTAAAAATTCATGGAAGATGTTTTTCATAATCTCAAAAAGTTTATTAATTATATGAAAAATAACCATCAACTCTGTTGGTGTAAAACATTTTTTCCTACCTGAGTATTCTGAGTGGGAATTTGTAAAATAAGTGCCAGACTATTATAATCAAAATTTTCATCCAGAGCAATAAGTGCACCATGGACTCCACTTTCAATGATGTTGTTGGCATATTCTCTAAGCCCAATAGATTGAATCCAGTGAATTACTTGATCATTTGTCCAGACCAACACATCTAAAAGACATTGAAATTATGCACATAAATGAAATTACCAAGAAGAATGCTCACTATTTTTTTAGCTGTTCATGACATAAAAAGAACAAAATACTGATGTAGTATCTAAGAATAGTCCATCTTGTGTATTCAAGTCATAATACTCTTCTAGTATTGTTTCTGGGGAAATAAGTCCCACTGTAAAATGTCAAACAAGTATGTGCTAATTTATTTGTACACCAAAAAACTATATTTACACTTTTATCTTGAAGACAGTCCCGAAAGAAGATGTGGCAGGCAGAACAGAAGTGCTCCTGACATATGGTTGAGATTAACTACACAGTGAATATAAATGAACACCATGAAAACTAATACAGTAAAATTCAATAAATGAATAGTTCAAAATGACATAAGCAGCAGCTATAAAATCAGCAAAGCTACTAAAAACAGATATCAACAAAATGAAATAAAGAATATTTACAATATACCATAATATCTAAGGAATTTTTTTTAAAAAAATTTTGCTTCCATGATAATAATTTTGCAAAGATACTATTAAAGTTAGTACCAGACAAGCTTCTCTGGTGAGGTATTCCATATGTAGAACAGCATGACTGAATTAATTCTTGCCAGGATTATCATATGCTCCTATAAAAAAGCTTTGGAGGACCTTCTGATGAAGGATGAAGAGTTGGAGTATGCATTTCCATAAACAGCAAAATTATAAGAAATTTTAGGTTTTGTTAGAAAAAATGTCCAGGTCTCATCTCAGATCTGGTTATGAAGTTGGAATAAACTATTTTGTGACTCAGGTAGTCTCTGGGCAATTCTGTAGGCTTTAGACTAGGCTCCTAAACTGGAAAATGTAGTCTCTGAGTAACCATAATTAATTAGCCTATAACATCAATATTATCTGAATGTTGAATGTTTGAATGTCTGAAATGGTATAGGGTTTCCTGCCTGAACAGGGGGCTCGACTAGAAGACCTCCAAGGTCCCTTCCAACTCTGTTGTTGTTGTTGTTGTTATTAATATTCCCCAGCATATTATTTTTACAGGTAATCCTTGAGTTATGATCACAATTGGCACTAGAATTCCCATATCTAAGTGATGTGATTGCAAAGCATGACATCACGTAACCACATTACTTAGCAACAGCAATCCTGGCAGTCCCAGTTGCCATTCTAATTCCAGATATATGGGTCATTAGGAGGGAAGTGGAGGGAGTCCCAGGTATGGCACAAGTTGGCTGATGCAAGTCTGGGGAAGAAGAGTGCAGGGTGCATGAGGCCAAAGAAAGAATATGCTGCAGCTCAGGGGTTCCTTACAGCTCTGAGGCTTCAATAGGTCCCTGACCCACAGCACAGTAAGAATCCATAGCCACCCTGGAAACCTCAGCTGCCCTGGCCTGGCCTGGCCCAGCAGCATGGCACAAAGGATCTTCTTGGCATGCTGCAGCATGGGACTGTAAGATGCCCCTGAGCTGCAGCACAGTGTCAAGCTCTACTCAGAACAAAGCCCAGCAGCAAAGTGCAAAAACAGCCTCTTGCCACCCAAGAAACCACAGCCGCCACAACCCAGTCCCAGCCACCCTGCACTTGAGACCCTTGGCAAATTACCTATACTCCAAGTCTACAACCTCCCATCAGCCACAATCCCCTGCAAGGACATGTGAGTATGACGTATAAAACCACTGGAAATATATTTAAATATAATAATATAAAAAATATTAAAATAAAACTAGGACAGGTTTCAAGCATGACAAATCCTGCTGAACAGTCAGTAACTAGAAAGACTCTGGAGTATTTCCTCTCTCTCTAACTAGGAAAATTGATTTTGCAAACAGCATTGACTAAAAAATGGTCTATATTTCATAACAAGATTTGACTTTTCTGAAAAATAGAAAGAAAAAGCAGCTTTAAAAACTATAATTCAAAATCTGAACTACTGTCATGTCCAGAGAACCAGGAACCTTAAGTGGAGTTCTGAGTAGTTCCTTTATTGTTGTTCGTCATTACAAACAGAATATTACCAAACTAAAGCAATTAACTGCAATAACTATAGGTCCGTGATGGCGAACCTATGGCACGCGTGCCACAGGTGGCACACAGAGCCCTCTCTGTGGGCACGCGCACCATCACCCCAGTCCTAGGCCTTCAGCTGGGTTTTATAAAACCTTTTTGCTTTAGGCCTCCACCGCCGTATGCAAAAAATAAAAGTTCAATCAATCAATCAATTTCAACTTCTCACGGGAAAAAAAAGATCTCGCAAAGTTGAAATTGATTGAACTTTTTAGTCCCACCCAGTCTGCCATTACCACCGCAGCCACACCCACCCAATGAGCCACACCCACTCAATGGGCCATGCCCACCTGGCGCCCAACAATACATAAGTGGGTTTTGGGTTGCAGTTTGGACACTCGGTCTCTAAAAGGTTCACCATCACTGCTATAGGTAAATCTCCAGAAGTTTGCCTCCCAAAGTTGTGTGTGCTCCAAAACTGGAGGTTTTTAAGAAAATATTGGAAAACCATTTGTCTGAAATAGTATAGGGTTTCCTGCTTGAGCAATGGGCTGGACTAGAAGACCTCCAAGGTCCCTTCCAACTCTGTTATTCTGTTATAATCTGAGAACTGCTAGGGAGGGTATGGCCTTACTGTCTTTCTGCCTCCAGACATTTCAAACTCTACTGCCACTTTGCCCTCTGGGAAAGAGCCCCTCCCTTTTGTGACTCCTGACTATATTCCACTACAACTATATTTTTGCAGCTTGCCTTGAATTCATTTCTAAATTGTTACTTGCCTTTGATTTCATGCTGGCTTTCTTCCCGCCTCTTCTCCAGCTCCTTTCTATCATAGTTCAGTCTTTTGAGGCACATAATCCCATACTGGAGACTTGTTCTGCAACAATGCAATAATTAGAACAAGGCATATCAATTTTTCAACCACTTTTACTTTCAAGAGGTGTGCAGCCGAATACGTGTTTTTTGCCTATGGCATAAATACATAGCTACTTTTGACACTATTTCAAAAATACTGAACTGTCTACATTATGGATCCAATTTTCTGATTTTGGGTTTTAATGTAGTATAACTTGAGAGTTTAATATTTATGGGATATGTTACTACTCTGCCTGAAAAACTCTTACCATGCCTGTCATTATTGCTCTTCAGTCAAAGGAAGGACTGATAAAGGCCAGAGTGTACAAGCTGAACTTCTAGGATCACATGCAACTCTCAAAAGCATGGGATACAGTTTCCAGAGCCTCTCCACAAGCTGTCACTAAATTGTAGCTTTTTTAACGTAACAGAAGCAGAAAGTTATTAAATACATGGGGAGTAACTCTGTCAAATTATTATTTATCCATTAAATTTCAACTTTAATTAAACTAAATTAAATTTAGGATATGGCCTCAGTGATATTTAATATTTGTTTGCAAATATTTAATCATATTAATTTTAATATAATACATATAACTGGAGAGAAATAGTATTAATTGTGTTTAAATAAACATAAAGTCACTCAGTGCTTTGGATTTGAAGGCAAAATGGAACAGTACAATGGTTGATCGAGTAATAATAGATCCCCCCCACTCCAAACCCACCCTCCCCATGTGTCTTTGGTTTTAATGTTTGTTTTTAACTTTTTATGTTTTAGCTTATATGTAACTGTAAGCCACCCAGAGTTACCTTATGGTAAGATGGGCAGCCAATAAATGTTATAAATAAATAAATAAACTTGGAGCACATTCATGGAGCATTTTTACACAATTACTTGAAGCAGCTTCATTTCTTTCCCTCATGGTTGCATTTTGGAGCTGAAGTGGGATCCTGAAAAAGATGTGTGATTTAAACTGTTTCAGACAACTGCTATATTTGGAACTGGCATGTTCCAAAACCCTTTCTTGCCTTTGAATCCAAAGCATTGGACAACTCTGTTGAATAAAATGAAATCAGATTTGAGGTCTGTCCAGGCTTCACCTCTGTTGGGAGTGTGGCCCTATTCTCCAAAGCCAAATGTGGACCTCAACCTGAAAAAAATTACACACCCTTTGACTAACTATAGGAATTTAAGGTGGTTGCAACAGTGCTTCAGATTATGTTCCAAGAAAATTTGCTCACCGATGGAAACTGTCTACCATCTTCAAGTGTACTCGAAGGTCTTTCTTAGTCAGATGATCCAACATCCGCGCATCCACAAGACATTCCATGAAGTAACTACGATACTGTGGTAGACCTAAACTAGGAAGCCATTCATTCCCTATCCATTCATGGTTCATGTCCCCATACGCCAGAGTCTGTGAAAATTATAAAAAAGAAAAAGCAAGTAACATACAGGACATATAATTGGATTTCTCCCCCTGCTCAACTGTGTCCAGTTCTCAAAGACTGACTGGACAAGTCCCTACAGTTTTCTTGGCAAGGTTTTTCAGAAGTGGTTTGCCATTTCCTCCTTCCTGGGGCTGTGAGAAAAAGACTGCTGCAACATCACCCAACTGGATTTGTGTGTAAGGTGGGACTAAAACTCACAGGCTCTCCATTTCTAGCCTGGTGCCTTAATCACCACAACAAACTGGCTTTCATATGTAAGTATACCTATTAGCAATACTGACAGAATCCTGACTGGAAGGCCTACAGATTGGAATTAGTACAAAAAAAAATTACCAGAGGTAATTGAATGAAATATACTAGTGAGTCATGCCACAGAAAAAAGTGATATAACAGCTTTAAAATGCTTCAGGATCACTTTCAGTAGATCTGAGATAATTCTATTATCTCAACGCTTTTGCTGAGAAACAATTTGCAAACAAAAATTGTAACTTCAAAATAACATAGTTTCAAATACATTTTTCAATATATGACAGTATGACTTACATTTGACAGTTGTGACAATGTCTCAAATTGATTACTTGAGTATTATTAACCATGCACAATATATGTTGTAACATAAATATGCCATACTTCAAAAACCTTAAATACAAATAAAGTATGTATGTATGTATGTATGTATGTATGTATGTATGTATGTAGGTAGGTAGGTAGGTAGGTAGGTAGGTAGGTAGGTAGGTAACCTGTATTGTCATTTTTTACTGTGGGCACAATGGCACACCTTAAAAATGAAATTTAGTTGCTTGCTCTCAAAGTGTACACATACATAACACGCATTTAAACATACTATATACAACATATGTATAGACCTACACCCTTACATATAAGTAACATATACTGTAAATCACTGTCTATCTTGAATACATAACCTAAGGAGAAAGCTTTAGAATTCACAAGGTTAATACTGTATGGAACAAAACTGTGACTGAATCTGGATGTTTTGCTTCGGATACCACGAAACCTCCTGCCGGAAGGTAACAAAGAAAACAGACCATGAAGAAGATGTGTAGTGTCCCAGACAATCTTACGGAACCTGCTCAAGCAACGCTTATGTGCTATGTCCTGGATGGAAGGGAGGGAAGTGCCAATAATCTTTTCAGCCACCCACACCACTCTCTGCACTGCCTTCCTATCTGAAGCAGTGATGCTTCTAATCCAGATTGTGATGCTGTATGACAGGATGCTCTCCCTCGTCCCTCTGTAGAAAGTGGTAAGGATAGGGGAAGGAAGATGTGCTTTTCTCATGCAACGCAGAAAATGCAGGCGCTGCTGTGCCCGCTTCACCAGTGTCTCGCTGTTGAGCGACCAAGCAAGCCTACTTGTTAACTGCACACCCAGGAATTTGATGCTGGTAACCATCTCCATTGGTGAATCATTAATGCACAGAGAAGTGTGGCTGTGCCTGCCTTTTCTGAAATCGACAATGATCTCTTTGGTTTTTCCAGCATTTAAAACTAGGCTATTTTCCTTACACCAGTTCACCAAACCTCCTTGCGACAAGCACCCTCATTGTCCTCATAAATAAGGCCTACTACTGTTGTAACATCTGTGAACTTCACAATATGATTGGTGGCAAACCTAGCACAACAGTCCTGGGTCAATAGGGTGAACAGCAGCGGACTTAGGATGCAGCCCTGAGGAGAACCTGTGCCCAAGAAAATGGTGTTAGAAATATTTGTTCCAGCTCGCACATATTGGGGCCTATTAGTAAGAAAATCACGAATCCAGTTGCACAAAGGAGTGTTTAAGCCTAAAAGGCCCAGTTTGTCTGCTAGATATTGGGGAATGATTGTGTTAAATGCCAAACTGAAATCGACAAACAATAAATACACATGAGTATTTCTTTTCTCTAAGTGCTTCAAACTCAGATGGAGAACAGAAGAAATAGCATCCTCCGTAGAGCGATTTGGTTGGTAATTTATATTATTTTCAATACCTTAGGAATAAATACACTGCATAGCTTTTTTAATATGCAACTTATCTGAAGGATGTATTTATGTGATTGTTAATCTTATTTGACACAATGAAATAGGATTTGTTACATGCTAAGCACAGAATTGATAGGTAAAGTAAGTAACTGAATTGCTGAAAATATTTGGCTCAGAAGATCTTAGCTGTCAAAGGAAGATCTGTCCTCTTAACTGTCAACATTTTCAGTGGTAAGAAAGCAAAATCTGAAAAGAACAGAGAACTATTCCATATTCATTCCTGACAGAATTTTTACTTTCTGCTTGTCAAACAAGAGATATCTGATTTGTTAAAGAAAGTTAAAGAATACACATATATTCATGGTATATATATAGAAACAGGAAGAATAAAGTATCTGGTTAGGTATAAATAATGCTAAAATTAAATGAAAAACACCACTAAAATGTAGCAGGTTTTATATGTTGATATCCTAAATATATATACTATAAAAATTGGTGAAATGTTTTGAAGACTCGACAAGGAATTAGTTATTATTAAATGAAATATGACTAGTTTTCCATTTGGACAAAATAGTAAGGTACTACAATGGTAACCAAAAGGAAGTAAAGGAAAATTTTCAAATATTCTGCATTTGTTTCCGTTATTTTCTAAGAGGATCTTAAATGAATCTAGACAAACTGCTCAAAAAGACAATTTGATATAATCAGATGATTCATATTTGTACGTAACTCCATTTTACTGGAAATTACTGGGTTTCGTATTTCCAGTACAGAGGGGGGGAAAATCCACAAAATAATGCAGGAGTCTCACCTGTGCCCAACTGCCTTCCTCAGTATCCTAAGTGTGACAATGCAGCATGTCAATAAAATAAGTAAAGTCAGATACCGCATGAAACCTTGTTTCTTCCCCCACCCCCCGTTAAAGCAGAGACATTGTCTATCATCAACATGATCAAGAAATTCTCACATAAACACGGTTCCAAGTAAGAGCCTGCCATTGTTCACTATTTCTAATTTAGAGGATCTCATTGTGGTCAGCATTTTGATCTCTCAAGAACGTGCGGATGTTTGGAAAACAGACAAACATCAAACTAAATTTTCAGTTGTTTTCATTGTTAAGGAACTATCAAAATGAATAGCCAAACTTGTGATCTTACAATTGGCTTTGCCCAAATGCTGATTTGGATGTATGTTGCCACTAGGCACAACTAACGTATTTCTTTGCTTATCTATAAAGAAATGTATATGCTGCATTTTGTGTCATTATAAACCATTCTATTTATTCTTAGAACTGCAAACAGATTCAAACAAAATGCCACACGCAGTCATCAAAATGCATGCATTAGATATTTAAGGATATATTATCCACACAAATAGTTAGATAGAAAAAAAAGATTAGATAGATGAGCATGTTTCTCTTGTTTTTATTTCTGTATATAACATACTCATTTTTGGATATAATAAACTCATTTCCACTTAAATAAGAACAAGTGGTCTGTTTACTGACTTGCTCTGGCACTAACATACACATATTAGTTCAATAAGTTAAAATAGCTATTACAGCCAGCCTAGTGTCAGAACATATCACACAAGAGCCCCTTACTAGAACAAATCAGTTACTATGCATTCAGGTTGGCTTTCTGAACATGAAGCAGATCATTTGTATCAGATAGGAAAGGGCATATTTGGAGTTTTGGCCACTGATGCCCTGTCTTTCCAACTATTTTCAGAATTCCCAACATGGCTTGCAACAATTAATATTAGTCCCTCATGTTACCTCAAAGATTATTCTTATCTAAACCAAAGAATTCAACTGCTGGTGAAAATTGAGCTTTCTTTTTTTTTTTTTAATGAGAAGCAAAATTATTTTCCTGTTGCTTACAATGAGGACAAGATGGCAGAATTCTCTTACACCAAAAAAAATAAAATAAATAAATTACCATTTTGGTTGAAGGAGCCATGGTTTCCATTTCTTCATGAGTAACCCAGACATTTCCAGATGACTAGGGTGAAAATATAAGACATGTGAATAAGAAAGCAAGGGATATTCAATAAAACTTTTCAACTCAAAACTAATGTTGTGGCCATAGTTTAGGCCATAGTATCAATAGTTGTGACAATGTCAAAAGCAGTTAAAAATTCCCTTGAGTCGAACTCAACTCCTGGAGCTAACTTATTTTCTTTTACACAATATGGAAGTAGTTAGCATTTTTGCACAATCTCAATAGCCTGTAGCCTACAGAATTTCCTGAAGGTCTTTTATCCAAATACCAGAGATGTCTGCCATCTTGACTTCTTTCATAACACCCTGCTGACACCCCTGTCAAATACTAATTATGGTTTTGTCATAGATATTTTCTCCCAGCTGGTAAACATAGACTGTTGTAGTATCAAGCTGTTGTAAAGTGAAGGGAGTACCTTTCAGAAAATCCACATTAAAAAAACCTACAGCTATAGTCTGCTTCTTCAATTTTCAGCCTATTACCTGCTCTTCCTGTTGGGTGGGTGCAGGAAAGGATCTCAGTACATATTATTTCATATATTTCTGACTATAGTATTAATATTTCTCACACAGCAAGCAGGGAACGCAAAGCAAGTACATCATTACATTTCAGGAAAAAATAGGCCTTGTTCACCAAAACCCAACCCATCTTGCAATAGCTGTCATAGCTGCTAGTGATGCATATTTAAGCTGGCCAGAAAGTCAACTTACAAATGAGAATAATAACAATAATTCAGCATTTTATATAAAACTATTGTGAAATTATTTCTGGCAAGTATAGAGAAATGGAAAAGGCACAACATCCTTTATTCATTTTACAAACATATATTACAATGGGACAGAAAGGTTATGATACAATAGACTTTTTATAAGGAATATTGGGATTTCAATTGTCATCAGAATCCTAGCTAGGACTTACAGTCTCGACTCTGCCTAAAGGGCTATGTGTTTGTTTTATATCTTATTCAAATGCAGGTTCTTAGCGTTAAATATGGAAAGAAAGCCCAGATTATACATCCCAAGAAGCCAAGATAAAGTGCTTACTGTTCTGGAGGTGGGTGGAGCAGAAGGACTTGTGAGAGACACCATTTCCTGGATTGCCAAGCGCAGTTTTAACCTGTGAAGGGCATTACTAATTCCAATTTCCCTCTGGATCTCTGTATCTGACAAGGCAGACATAATTGCCCCGCTTTTCACATTAGCTCTGCAAGCTGCAACATACCAGGCAGGCATGCCCACCCAAAGCTACAACATAAAAGGCCAGAGATGAGTCTGCATTTTGAACTGCACAAGTTTCACATACTAAGAATTTACAATGAACAAAAGCATTGAAATATGAGATTTTGACTGACTGTTAAATTCTTCTTATTCTTATGACATAAATTCTTAAGACAATGCTGTATATTACTTCTAGCCTCTCCACATTTCATGGTATAAGATACATTATGCTGAATTATTATCATTTGGGGAGGGTTGACAAAACAAAAATACTAAAAAAACTATGCTCTATATCTACATAATATTTTCAAATTTTTTATTTAAATTTGATAGTATCCAAAGAGAAAATTATTTCTCTTATTAAGACAGTTTAAATCAAAGTTTGTGAGATTATATATATTTGTATATATTTCAAACCTGAGAAAGTTTGTTAGTTTATCCTTAAGGCAGTGAGTAGCCAAAATCTTCCATATCTTGCCTGCTCATTTTTACTGCTATTATGCATAGTCACATGCCTCTGCTTAAAAAAATGATCCTGGGGAATTAAAAATCAGACTTTGCAACACAGCACAGAAAAAAGATCTGGGCATGTGATTATACTGCAAAGTCAAGAATGATGATAAAACTTCAGATCCTCATACTATGAATGTGTAAAATGGAAATTCTATTTGCAGATACTTTCCCTAAATGTCTTCATTTGCCTTAAATCTAGATATGGAACAGCTTTTTCCAAATATATCAGTGCATTATGAACTCAGGTTATCTGGCCAAACAGGATTCATTAAAATGAATAACTAAAAGAAGCTTACCTCCAACCAGGAGACCACAGTTGGGCCATCCCACTGAGCAAAGGGAATACCCTTTCTTCTAGCATCTTCCAAAAGTTCATGTCTGGAAAGCGAAGCAGTAATACAACAATTTTTACTAGCTGTGCACTCCTCCAGAAAACAAAAAAAAACCCAAAACTGAAATTATATCTAAACCAGGGGTGTCAAACTGCCGGCTCGCAGGCCGGATGCGTCATGCCGAAACCGTGCCCACCCCATTGCCAGCAATGGGGAAAAAATCGCAATACATCGCGACACGTCACACGACATTGCGAGTTTGACACCCCTGATCTAAACAGTTGATAGCAAATTTAGCAAACTATCCCACAGAATGTGACAACAGGAAAGCATGCAACATGCAGTTAATACCATTTGGTATTATTCTACCCTGATCATATATTTTGAGTTCACTGAGCAAAACTGGAAAGCTAGCAACAGTTTCCCAGTATGACTACTGATACACATTTTAGCAACGTGCTTCCTTCACACATCTCAGCTGTTCAACACCATATGTACTCTGGCATAAGACACAAGAACAAGCAGCTGGCACCATTGAAGAACATTGTTTCTATTCCTTGGCAAAATGGGGTTAACAAGCCTCTTGCCTAAGTTTTAGTTCGAAGGTACAGAACTATAGAGTTACATATAAGTGTGGAAAGGTGATCTTTAGCATCAGAACCAGAGTCAACTTTCTATATGTAAATAATTACCATGTTCTAGGTCAGTGGTTCTCAACCTTTTTAATGCCGCGACCCCCAACCGGTCGTAAGTCGAGGACTAAACCGGTCGTAAGTCGAGGACTACCCAACCAGTCGTAAATCGGGGACTTTCCCTGCCCGGGAGCACCGCACATGCGTGGTTCTGCCCCCTGCGCCGGCCGAGGCGTAGCTGGCAAGCGGCAGAGACGGAGCAGGCCGACCACCAGCTGGCCCAGCTCAAGGGAGGTAAGGCACCCGCCAGAAAAGGGGAAAAAATGGTGGACAGCCTTGCTTGGCGACCCCCGTGAAATGGTCGATCGAACCCAAATGGGGTCACGACCCATAGGTTGAGAACCGCTGTTCTAGGAAGTGAGTGGGTGCCATATGTAATACCTGGACTATAGGTTATAAACCGGGGGTCTTCAAACTTGGCCCTTTTATGACTTGTGGACTTCAACTCCCAGAATTCCTCAGCCAGGAATTTAATTAAACCTGGTTTAATTAAAAAATAACTAAAAGAAAATCTGGGGAAAGTTTTGTTTTAACTGAATAGGCTCTTAGGAAGTTTCTGAAAGAGGTATGTCTTGATCATCTACCCAAATAGTAACAGGCAAGTTTATTCTGAAAACTGTGATAATCCTTTTATACCAGTTTCACAGCGTAGAGAAGAAACCTTTGAAATATAAGAATCATGAAGGTTCAGATCTTCCTCTTTCTTGTTAAGCTGCTTTTCCTGAATACCTGCATCTTTCTGTTTATTTAAATTGTTTCTTTAAAAAACTTGAAAATGTTATGAAGTATTTGTTTCAGGAGAAGGAAACAGAACAGTTCTCACAAAGCAGTTAATGACGCTTTTCTTACAATCTATTTCAGGAAAGAAATGAGCTTATTCTAGGATGATAATTCAGTTCTATCAATGTGAAAGTTTGTGCTAAAATACCTTCCAAATATTCTACAGTGACCCGTAATCCATCAAGAGTCTATACCCAAATCAAGACATAAATTTGCAATAATTGCTACAATATTTATTAAGACAGTAATTACAACTGTCCTCACTTTTTTTTGAGCCGTCGATCTTTTTCTGCTTGGGCTCCTAGCTTGCCAAGACCAAGAGAGTCCTGAATGTTCATTTCTGCATCCGTTAGCAAAACTATGAAACACAATAGATGAAGAATTAGACTAGACGATTTTGGTATGGAGAAGATGGATAGATTATATTCAGAGAAAGTATGAAATGAATAATTATCATATAGCTTTTGATTAAACTTTTTTTCCTTTTTTATTATTTCTATATACTTAATATAATTTATATATATATATATTATATTTAAGTTTATTATTGTATATTAGAGTTAAAGTATGTTAATATTTGTTTGTATTATGTTTGGGTAGTTTTATTTAGTTTTGGGATGNTGTGTAGGATAGTTGGAAAGGAGGAAGGAGGAGAGAGGTGTGGGTAGGAGGGGAGAAAGGAAGAGGGAAGGTAGGATGGTTGAAGGAGTGAGGGGGGATGCAGGGGGGGGACCGCCGATCATTTCTGAAAATATATTGACTAGGTTTTCCTTTTTGTTTTTTTTAATGAAATGCACCACATTTGTATTTGTTTATATGTTTATTTGAAAATTAATAAAATTTGCAAAACCAAGAATTAGACTAGACACTCCTCATGATATATAATAATACTACCTTTTTAAAGAAAAACTTCAAAAATAGAAACTATTTTTGTCTACTCAGCAAATTCAATTTTGTATCGAGAAATTTAAACTCAGTAATTCAATCTGCAAGAGTAGCAAGTTTTACTTAGCTTAATTTAAGCTTGAAGATTTAATATTTGACAATATCCATGAGAATCCAATAGAATAAACAAAGAGATACTTTTATAGTACCCCAACAATACACTAAATCTTAAATATATACAATTATAAAATTATCTCTCATCCTCACCCATCCTTTGGCCAATTCCTCTGCTTCTGCTATTGTACTTTCAAGCTATGCCACTTCCTATTCATCCAGTGCTATGTGATCAAGCCATTAGCTTTATTCACTGCTTCCAGTAATTCATAGCTCAAATTCCTATTTAGAAGATCCAATCATACTGATAGGCCAATGGCTAACACTTTATTGATATAAGTGGGATATTATCAACATACATTTTGCAGCCGTGTAGTATTTCTTTCTAATATCTTTGATGGATGTCTACAGCTATTATATTTTTGGTATTTAAATGTTCAACAATTGAAACAAGTGAAAATATAATCCAGGAATTTGTAAAATTGAAGGAAACTGAAATTTAACTGCCAATGTCAGTTCTATTTTTATTGTTTCCATCATATTATTTTCTGTTCTTCCAAGGACGTAGAAAGACAGCCCACTATGCTAAATGGTCAGCTTCCACAAAATTTATGAATTCTTTTATTTAGAAAAGGTGAAGAGAATCAATTACCTTGCCCAGTAGCGCCTTCTCTGCTCAGTTGGATTAAGCGTCCTTTTTCTTTCTTTCCAAACAGGCGTCCAATTGAAGATTTGATGCCTTTCCTCTTGGAGCCTTTATGCAGTGAATCCTGGCTGCTATTACTGCTGCTGGGGTTACTTGCTTGATCCTCTAGAAAACTAAAGGATGAGAAAGAAAAGTTCATGATGTCATTATACATAGTGAAGTTAAGGTCCTCCTCTTGGGATCAGCCTCATTCCCCCCACCTGTTTTCAAAATACCCTAGTTCTTTGAGACCACGTTCAGCTAATCTCTGTCTGTGGGCAAGGATAGCAGTGCAAAACATCTAGAGAAAACACAACTGAGACATGTATCTAAAATTTGTTCTGTGGAATATTAACAGCTGCATAAATCTTTCAGATATGAAGAATTATTTAGTTAGAATGTTAGAACCCAGAAAAGAACCCCAAAATTTTCTGACATAGACTATCATACACTGAACGTTGTATATTGCAATAAGACTTTCACTAACATGTTCCATTCATCATCATTCTATCATCATTATAGTATCAAAGAAAGGCAACCTCAGTGATTGTAACAACTAGAGGGGCATAATATTGCTATCAGTCCTTGGAAAGGTTCTATGCCTTGTGTTGTTCAGGAGATTGCAGCAAGTGGATGCACACTTATGTGAAGAACAAGCAGAATTCAGGAAAGGACGCTCCTGTAAGGACCAGATCCTGACCTTAAGAAATATCATTGAACAGAGTTTAGAATTCCAAAAGCCAATGGTAATTAATTTTACTGACTTCAAAAAGGGATTTGACTCAATTCATAGAGAATCACTATGGAATATTGTAAAGTCCTATGATATTCCTCAACATTTTATCAACATCTTTAAGAACCTGCTACTGTGTACAAATGGAATCTGGCAACACAACCTTCTTTAACATCAATACTGGAATAAGGCAGGGATGTATACTATCACCATTCTTGTTTCTCCTCTCCATGGGCGTTGTTATGAATAGAGCAATGGATAACCCTAGCTTTGGCATCTTATGGGCAATAGCCCATCTAATAGTTTTAGATTTTGTGGATGACATTGCACTGCTTGGTGAAACAAAGGGGTGCTTGCAAGAAATGACCATCAGTTTAGATAATGAGGCCAACTAGATCAGCTAATATATAAATTATGAGAAGACCAAGTTCATGCAAATCAGAAGTGCTCAGGATAATATACCTATTATAGTCCGTGACCAGGCTATAGAACAGGCATGTCAAACTCGCGACATCATGTGACATTGCGCAACATATCGGGCCGGTTTTGCCATTGCCAGCAATAGGGTGGGCGCGGCTTCCATGTGACACATCCGGCCCGCGGGCCAGCAGTTTGACACCCCTGCTATATAACAAGTCCAACAATTTACTTATCTTGGCAGCATTATATCTATTGATAGACATAGATAAGGATATTAACTTTCAAATTGGAATGGCAGCAGCCATGTTTCAATGCATGCACCCAATTTGGTCTATGGCAACCATAAGTATTACCACAAAGGTAAAACTCTTCAAGAGTGTTGTTATATCAACTGCAATATATGTTTGTGAGACATGGAAGTGTACAACCAAGATGATTAAACAGCTAAATGTTTTCCAACAACACTGCTTGAGAAGAATCCTCCACACCTCATATTCTTCTACTATTGCTTCACATAGAAGGAAAAAATAATATTAGGCACATTCTTCAATATGTTTTTATAGATGGAGTATACTGCCCATCCCAATTCAATAGAGCAAAAGTTTGAAAACACTTTTTTATAATATTTGCCTTTATACCTCATATAACTGAGTATAACTGACAGCCTATAAAATTACAGAATGCATCTGTTCCTTTCCCAGACTTATGTACCTCTTGCCTTCATCCTGACCAAAAGCAGGATGTCCAAGTTTCTCCAGCCTGAGGCTCCTGGGTGAAGAAGGAGGAGAAGTCTCACATTTGATGGTCGTTTTATCTTCTCGACTCTCATCTCGACCAGCTGGTGACTGAACAGATAAGGTAAAATCAGACTTAGACAGGATCTTCCTGTCTAAAAACTTTCCTCCAATCTCTAGCACACTTGTTAATTAATTAAAGGAGAAGACAGAACAGAATCACATGCATCAAGTATATCACAGGGATTACTGCTCACTGTATGCCCAATGAAAGGACTGAATGGTCAAGTTATAATTATTTGGAGTGATATAGTCATAATAGGAGGCATCGGACCTGGCTACCTCCGAGACCGCCTTCTGCCACAGATCACCTCTCACCTGGCTACCTCCGAGACCGCCTTCTGCCACAGATCACCTCTCACCGGCCGATACGCTCCCACAGAGCGGGTCTCCTCAGGGTGCCNTGGCCTAGGGACATTTTAAATTGGTTTCTAATTAATTTTAAAATAAGAATAGGCCTATTGAATATATCTTTTAATTGATTTTAAATTTTGTAGATTTGTATCGATTGTTCTGTTTTTAATTGGCTGTAAGCCGCCCTGAGTCCACTAGGAGAAGGGCGGGATATAAATGCAATAAACTTAAACTTAAACTTAAACTTAATAGAGCCAACAGCAGCAGGAAGGCAGAGATAGCTTATGACACATTAACAATATGGAGACAGTAATACTGTATGTAGCAATAAGGACAGGAGCCTCTGACTTGCCATCATTTAAACTGCAAGTCATATATTTCTATTTACAATTTGTAAAAATCCAATACAAAGGAGTACTTTATGGGCATAAGGGTTATTCTTGAAATAACAATCACTAATACATTTTTGTCAGATGGGAGCTGGCAATTTACTACCTAAGCCAAGGACCAGGGAGGACTGGAAGAAGTACCCTGCAGAAACTGCCTGTTCAAAATCATCAGAATTACAGGTTAAGGAGCACTGCTTATGTAAGTGAAAATAATAGAAAAGTAACAAAAAAATAGATCAATACACTACACTCTTTTGTCAGAACTTGGTCTTGAACAAAGCCACTGTTATTGTCTCATAAAAATATGTTCACAATTCTCACTCACAGAAATTTCTGAACTATCACTGGCAAATCAGCAAAGAAACTAATTCAGCATATTCTAGAACACAAACCATTCTTCTTAAAGTAAACAGAATTTGACACTGCAAGTAAAGTTATTTAAGCATCCAGGAACAAAGAGCAAAGACCTTTCCATAAGAGAAATAAATTATAGGCCCTTAGCAGAGAAAAAAACTACTTCTAAAATAGGAATTGGCCACAAACCAATTTATTCTGAGCATAGAATCATCAGCCATTCTAGTTAAATGCAAAGATGTATAAAATGGAGAGGCAGGTGAAAGCATGCAAGAAATAGCAGGAGTATGGCAGGAACAGCACTGTCCTAAAGGGAAATCTGGATTTAAATATCAAACCCCGAGTCCCAATTTAAATAAGCAGAAATACAATGAAGAGAAAGCTATTAGTTTGCAACTTTTCCATCTCTCACGAAAGATGTTCTCTGTTTACAACATAAGACTTGCAATATTCTCTAATCTGTTGGACTTTATGCGATGTGACATAGTTATGGAAAATTAGCACTGTGTGCTTTTTCTTGTCCACCTGTTCTTTGCCTCCAGAGTCTTATCCTTTAATTATTTTAATATCTAATTATATTCACTTTAAAGCTTCCTGTCTAATTTACATTTTAGCACACTTCCTACTGTATTAATAGCTAGGTTTATCTTGAATTTGGGACTTTTGGATTTCAAAGTTTACTTACTAACTTGTTTAATATACACCCTGCCTTTCTATGCAAACACTCAAGATGACTTTACTAGAAGCATACATGAACAAACCAAATACATACATCTATTCACACTGATAGAAGAAGCACTCTTGGAATAAGTGTGATATTGTAAACATTCTAACAATTTACAAATAAGCACCGGGACATGAATGCTATATATAAGTTCATATAAGTACTAATTATATGAATCCATAATACTGTATATCAATTACTACTTACAACCCGCCAGCAGTAATCTGTTATGATCTGAATGGCTTGTAGTGAACACATGATCTCTCAACAACAAAACTTAATTGGAAAAGATCTGCAATACTTATAGCTCTATATTTATGGTAGACCATTTATATCTGTCTGTAGGACAAAGAAAACCACTTATATGACTAGAGCTATATGCAGTGGTGGGATTCAGCCAGTTCGCACCACTTCGGCAGAACCGGTAGCTAATTCTTTGTTGCCCAGGCCCAGAATGGACTTTCAGAAGTGGCATCCACACAGAGAATCAGTTGTTCACATATTTGAATCCCACCACTGGCTATATGGTAACATTTTATCTGCATCTGGGAATGACACATTTTCAAATAATAGCCAGAATAAACATTGCTTTATTTTTAAAAATATTCTCAGTATAACTTTATTGTTCGGAATACAACAATTGCTTTGTTGTAACTTAGACTAGCCAATGTTTAAGATGACAAAATACAGTTACAGAAAAGGAGCAAGAATATAAATCTACAAAGAAGAGCAAAGAAATAGACAGACTCACAAGTAGTTTCCTCCGGTGTTTCCTCAAATCACTTGGCTGTCAAAAGATTGACATAAAACAGTGGAAGTTAGCTCAAAATTACCCTAGGGAGCAGATGGCACATGTTCAATACAACTGGGACTAGAGAGGGCTAAAGAAACTATGAGCAATAGCTATGGTGGAGGACTTGTCAAGAAAAAAAAATATGTGGCACTGCAATATTAGACTAAATAGCTTTAGATATTAAATAGAAACAATTAGAAATGCCAGAAGCCTTAGTAGCTGGGCAATACAGCAGACAAGTTATAGGATATAAGGGCAGCATTGTAGAGAGCATAGCGTGCCACCAAAAATCCCACTTCCCAGCAGAACACACTTTTTATTTTTTATTTTTCAACTCTTACCAGCGTCATACTGCATATTCGATCAAGGTCCTGAGCTGTGCTGCGAGAGGTGAGTTTTGGAGTGGAACGTCCACTGACAGGAGGAGATGAGCTTGCCAGAGACAGGGCAGTTAAAGATGTGGGGATGGACGCTCTCTTGCGTAACTGTGTCAGATTTAGGGCTTCCATGCTACCACTGGTGACACGGCTTTCTAACTGTTCAGCCCGCAGTTCAGTTGATTCTTTCTCCTCCTGGATCATTCTAGACCAAATCATAATTTAATCTCAGCTGGGATTTTACTATTTTTCATAAAGAGGGTCAGATAGAAGAATTCAAGATGTCTATGTTAAACACAACTCTAGTTCACAGAGTAATTCCTTATACCATGCTTATGTACTATACCAAAAGAAACGGGAACCATCTATGTAATTAGGTAGGCTTACTTGGGTTTATTCAAACAAATAAAAGAGATCATTTTTAAATAATATTTTAAAACATTTATTCATACAACCTAAAACTGTTCTGATGCACTCCTTATCTATAGTTCATATTTTCAGTGTTCTCAGAATCCAAAATGCTAGAAAATTCATCTTTTTTTAATAGCTCAAAATTGTGATGTGGTCAAATGACTCATATATCAAATCTCCTTGTATTTTAATCTATGGCTATATTTTATTTCCTGCAAAATTATCAGTATAACTTTCATTACAACATTAATGTAATGTAATTTCCATTACAAAATTAAGACTGTCATATGATTTGTTTCCTGTATCTCATTGGAGACCTTAGGCAAAGCCTTGGTAAATCAATTTGTCATTAGTTTAAAAAAAAACCTCTTGCAGGCAGCAGAGCCAAAAAATGTTTGTGATGGACTTTCAACTATGAGATTAAGATAGTGACAAAAATAAAATTGCTCATTAACTGGCTTGGTAGTAGATTCATTTGGGATAAGGTACACTATGTTGGTTCACCTTATTTATTCATTTATTGTTTTTTTGTTTGTATCTTTATACTTTACAAGGACTCACGACTGTTAATAATTAAAACCAGCATTCATTCATGAAACAATCAGTAATTTTGGACTACCCTCCATCATGCTCTAACTGTCCCCATGGGTCGGAGGCAACTGAACTAAAAACTCATACAGACAACCATTTTAATTTATTTGATTTTAGTATCATCAAATTCTATCACCTCATAACTTAAGAAAAAAAATAAAATGCAATTCAATTCAAAAACACCACCAGCAAAAAACAACAATAAATAAAAGCAAAGCAAACACAAGATGGTAAGTCCAGCAAACAACAGAACTCATGTGGCTGGGGTGCCTTGTGAGTTCTGTTGTTGTCTGGGTTTATTATTTTGTCCAAGATCAGGTTTTCAAGGCCCTCCAAAATGCTATTAGAATGGGAGCCAGCCAGAATGCTTTTAATATTTCTCCCTGCTACCTACTCATATTTAATATGCTTCCTTCCAGTTTGTGGGGTGGCACAAAAGTTTGCCAGCATAATTAGCTTTTGGGTCATAGGAACCTACTAAGAAAAGACCAGGCCCTCTTCTTTCACCCAAAACAACTTAATGGTCATATTTAAAACAAAGTAAACATTCGGTACCATCCTTCAAATTGCCTAAATAATAGGTGGCCAGCAGAAAGATGCTCCGCTAGATCTAAATATCTGTCTAGCACTGTTCTGGGAGAGTGATGTGTGCATGTGCATGCATATATGCATAATCATGTCAAAGAACCCCAAGATACCAGCTGACAAGTCAATGGCACAGTGAAGAAAAGCAGAATGCGACACAGAAATAGTCTCAGCTGAAACCTGTTCTGTTGCACTCATAACAAATATTCTTTTCTTACAGCCAGCTATGAAGATCACTGTATAACACTGCTCCTAATGCACTTAAATACACACACACACACACACACACACACACACACACAAACATTTTCACATATTTTCATCCAAGTACTCAATATATGTTTTTGAACAGGTCTAGCACTATTTCACAAGAGTGGTGAATACCGGCATTCATGTAAGAGCTGATTGGCATTTCAGAAAACACCAGCCAGGCATGATGTAGGCAGCTGCCTATGGAAACCAGTTGTCATGTCAACCCAGCTACACAAACCAACTGGCCATGAAGGGTTATGCTCAGCAAGCATACAGGATAGCATATATACTTGCAGCTGAAAGCATCCAGTAGGAGCTGGGCAGATCTTAGTTCCTGGCTGAACTATTGCCAATATGCTGGTATAATGAGGCCTGCTGCCAAACACATACACCACTTAGGATGTGGTGGATTGGACTTTCAGGTTCTTCTAAGCGACAGTCCCTCAACCTTCTCTACTGTACTCTCTCACACCCCTGATGACAGCTTTTTCACTTTACTGACACTAACCATTTTCCCCCAAAGAAATCTCTCTGGTGCTGAATTACTTGGGAATAGGTGAAAGGGAGACTTCCTCTCTGCCTTCCTTCCTTCCTTCCCTTTCATAACTTAAGGGGGGAAAAAGATATATGCATTGAGAATGAGTGTGCTGATTTAGAAAAAATGTGTTGCAGAGATAATGTCTGTGCCCTAGGAGGAATACGCATGTACATAGATAGATATGAACGTAGACAGGACAAATTAACAAAGTACAGCAATGACACACACCTCAAATGATTTTATCCCCTCTTGATCTGTTCCTTCAGCAACATTTTTTGAGTGATGAAAGAAACTAAAATTACACTCTTAATACTTCTTCATATATTACAGAAAGTATAGATTTTGCATTATGTTCCCAGACCGAGATCTTTGGAAAGATGATATTAGAGATAAATAAATGTGCTATTTCTGGGAGGCAGTCCCATCAAATTGCTCAGATATTTTCTCTCAAACATTTCATTACTGCTCACAGAATTTCTCATCATCTAGACATAAACATTTGGAAATATCAGTCCAGACAATATCTTCCTAATTTATTTCTTGGAGACAAATCACACACTTTTGTTTCTGATCCTTGAACACATGCAAAATCAACTAAAATATACAGGATATATATACACCTGATATACATACCTAATCTCCTCATTGATGGCATCCAGTTGTTCCTGCAGCATCATGGCAAGAGTCTGGGCATCAGAGTGACCACTGGGAGACAGCATGTCCATAGAGCTGAAGACTGTTTCTTGGTCATCCTCATCAACATCAGAAATCTCCGGATCACTATCAAAAGTGTGAGGTGAAGTACTCAGGATGCCACTTGTTTGACCATGCTCCCAATCCTAGACACAAATTACAAGGTACCCATGTAAGGCATGTTTCCCACATAATTGCAATGTCAATTTCACCATCTTGCTGAAATATCTGTTTGAGATGACAGATTGTTATGTGTGTCATTTAAATGATTCCAGTGTTTCAGCTAAGCAAACCAGAAACTTCTGCTGAGAACAGGGCCTTAAGAAGATAGATTTAGTTATTTGAGAATCTCCTGCATTTGAAAGGAATGTATAACATACAGTGCAGGCCTTCCTATTGATGCCAAGCAAAGGAGCGAGCCTCTTCCAGAGATATAATTTACATATTACTCATTCCCTAATGTATCTCTCCCTAGCCTTATGAACTTGGCTTGACTGCTTGTTAAGAATTTTTGCCTCCAGAAGCTGTGGGTACTCCAACACTGAAGAACCTGATAATCATTTATCTGAAATGACATAGAGATTGGACTAGAAGACCTCCAAGGTTTCTTCCAACTCTATTATTCTGTTAAAGAATGGTCACATACACAGGCACAAAGCCAGGAAAGAAACAAAAGAGGGGGGGAAATCGATAGTTCTTCAGTGCTTCAGATAGTTGAGTTCAGGTTGGGGCACAGATTCTGGGTTAGCAAAATAGCTGCATTTTACTCATAATAAACTAGCTATATTGTGCAACATTAGGAAAATTGTATTAATTTTAGTGATTTAAGTGTTTTATGCAAAACAGCATAAAACTCTTAAAATAGCATAAAATAGCATTCATTATGCTACAGAAATACAAACAGCAAAACAATAGCCCTCAGCAATATAGACAAGAAAATATTGAATTAGCAAATTAGCAAGCATATAACTGACTTTCAGCTGATTAAACCAAGAATCTTGGTTCTTAAAATAATAAGTTTGGATTCTGGGTGGGCAATTTCATCCACTCCAGATGTTCCAGATTGCTTATCTCACAACCTGTGATGCTAGAGGCCATCTCAGGGCTGACAGTGGAGTTCCCAAGACTTATGGTTTGGGGGGACTTCAATCTGCCATCCCTGGGTTCGGCCTCAAAAGCAGCTTAGGAATTTATGACTATTATGGAAGCCATGGGCTTATCCCAGATCATCTCAGGTCTGACTTGGGACAGTGATTACAGACCAGATTTGATCTTCTTGTTGTAAAAATGGCAACACTATCTGGTGAGATTGTGTTGCCCTTTGCTCCAACAAGAAGATCAAATCTAATATTTTCCCTCCTGTCATTGTCATATCACACCCTGGTGCCCTTGAGGTTTTTTTATGCCGCCCCCTCCACAGGGAGGCCAGATCCATTTGAGACGTTCGCTCCCAGCGACTGATGGACCTGACTGAGTTTCAGAGGGAATTGTGATATCCCAGAGACTCTGCTGCAGAGTCCTGCTGAAGTCTTGGTAACATCCTGGAATCAAAGGGCAGCTGAGGTCCTGGACAAGATTGTGCCTATGCAGGTTCTCCAGATCCCTCATGCCCAACTTTTCCCATAGTTCACAGGGGAGTGGAAGGTTAAGAGATGCTAGAGCACCAATGCAGGAAAATGAAGGATGACTCTGACTAGACACAACTTAGAGCCGCTATTAAAGCCTACCTCGTGACAATATACATGGGGCTACACTTGAAGAGCATTTGGAAGCTACAACTGGCAGCATGAGCAGTCTTTGGGATTCCTGCAGTGGTCCATCTTTCAGCACTCTTCCACGAGCTGGTTGCCAATTTGCTTCCAGGTGTAATTCAAGGTTTATGTGATCACTTTTAAAGCTTTGCATGGCATTGGTCCAAGTTACCCGAGGAACCATCTCATCCCAATAGGACTGAGTTGCTGGTGGCTAAAAGTGCAGCAAATAAATTTAATAATAAATAAATCTCTTATAATATGCTTTGTAGGCTGGGAATGACTGAAGCTGATACTCAAAAACCTGGGTGAATACAGTAAATTTTTTTCTAGATATTTCAATCAGGTTCATAGTAGAGTGATTGTGGAGGAATATGGAGGTGGCCTTGAAAAAGGAATTCAGAACCTTTGCGTAAACATCACCTTAGCCTGGATAGATGGAAGAGAGTAGTGACAAACCCAGAGATTGCCCTGCCTTGATTCTCCTTAGTGTAAGAAAAGAGAAGAAAACCTCTGTCAAGCTTTCAAGATTCTGTTATTATACTCTATATCAATATTAATTCAGTAATACTGTAATTATTATAGTAATTCATGTGGCATTTGTTTCCTGATTTAGGCTACCTCAAAGAGCAGGCAGTGATCCTCTATTAAATTTATAGCAGTCTAATCTTATATGGGAGTTGCAGGCCCTATACAGAATTTTAATGATTTATATTAGAATTTAAGAAATTTATTCTGCAGCTGATTCACCCTTTCAGCTTTCAAGATTTATGGGAAACAGTTTGGAAATATACTTATTAAATTTATTTATGTATGTATGTATGTATGTATGTATGTATTGGTATCTTGAGTTCCATGAAAAGTAGTTTCTTAACAAAAATAACTTAAGGAAATTGTTAATACATTTGCTATGATACTGAGTACGCTGGATTAAGGAATGATTTAATTACATGATTAAAAAATAGGAAGAAATTTAATGAACTTCGAAATTCGTTTCAATATGTCATTTTACCCAAAGTAAGTAATACTTATTTGAACAGTTCACTGATCCCCAAAAAATAATTTAAAAATATATACATGGCTAGCTCAAATCTCCAATGTGGCTGATGAAAATAATTATAAAATAAAATATAAGAAAATAAATAGCAACACCAGATCCCAACCAAGTATTGAAATACAAAAGCTAAGAGCTATTTCTTTGTTTTCCAGATTTCACAGTATTGCAAAGATCCTTTGAAATTTATCTTACCACCTTCTGTATAAGCCCATCTCATAAGTACTGTCCTGGCCACCATCCAGTGAAGTAGCCTTTCTGCACAACAGGGAGTCTCTTTCCTTTAGAGGGGTTTAGGTTTGCAGCTGTCACTGCCAAGTGAAAGGCCAATGTGCCCCCCTCCAATATTAAAAGCACAAGACAGCTGTTGCAGCTGTTGCCAATACAAAGATTTTATGGTGTACTCCAAGATGCAGGCGTAACTGGAGCTGCCTCCTAGAGATTTGTTGCAGCAAGGCAAACATCAGGAGTTTTTACCTTGGAGGGTTCTTCCTGCAGAGCAACAAAACGGCTCTTTGGTGCCCGATGAAGACTAGATGTTGCAAAGGGGTCTGTGGATGGATGGACCATAGTACTCAATGGGTATCTGAGATCAGGAGTACTTCCAACAAAGGACCTATTAAAAAATAAAATGGGGAAAAAATACTTATTTTAAAGAAATAATGGAAGTTGTATTGCTTAAAGTTTAGCTTTCTATAGAGAAATCCTGAATTTAAATACATCTAATATGGTTTTTCTTATCTTCTATCAAAATTCTAAAATACAGACATATTGCCAGAGATTATGCATTGAAAATCACAAGACAGGATGAGTTCCTTATTTTTCCTCGCTAGTGAGAAAATTTTGTGCTAATAAACATTTCTAGAGCAGTTGTAACTATGTAATAAATATTCTTACACAAAGGTTGCCATGATGAGTGTGTCCAGTCACAACTCCACCCACATACCAAAAGGCAATACTGTAAAGAACTGGGCTATTTCATTGTCTATGAATGTTCTGTTTTAAATCAGGGCAGCATTATTCAAGCCTTTCTGGGCAGGTGGTTAGTAGTTTTCCAGGATTCTACCTAGATGGATACTAAAAAACATCTGCAAGCAAACAACAAAACTCAGAAAGCACCAAGAACTCCACAGTAATTTTTTTGGAACAATAAAGAACTTCTGGAAGCTAGCAAACCCTCTTCTGTATAGATAGATTACCATAGTCCAGTAGAAAAACGGAACTTTTCAATGTTTCCTACAACATTCTGTCCTGAGAAGGTAAATCTTATCTAGACTTTATGTGTAGATGAAGTGTAGTTGGAAATATAGTCTTATACTTAAGACTTGTGCTTTGCTTTGCAGCATCCCAGCTTTGCATTGGTTTTTATTTAATTGAAAGACTCATTTAAAATAAAATAAGGTGGGGCAGGATGCTTGGCAAATACTGAGGAAAATATCAGCAGACATGTCCTTTGGTTTCCCAAGATCCTTATCAAAGACTAAGGCAACAATAATATCAAAATTATCTAAGAAACAACCAAAGCACTGAATACATTTATAAGCAAATGAGCATCATTTGTATAAAACCTAGCTTACGTTATCATAATCTAGATATATCAAACATATACTTAGATAATGGATGCTGAACAAGTATCTCCAAGACTACCAGATCTTGAAACAAAAATATAGTCCAGGTGGCTCAGAAAATAAGTATTTTAAAAATATATAAATATAAGAACAAATTTAAGTAGCAGCTAGGATAGAGTACTGCTAATTATCAGTGAAGGAACACTTGGTGTCCTGAAGGTCAAGACCTGTTTCAGGAATACTTTTTCATCTCCATGGAATAGAGACACAATTGTTTCTCCTTCCTTCCTTCCTTCCTTCCTTCCTTCCTTCCTTCCTCCCTTCCTTCCTCCCTTCCTTCCTTCCTTCCTTCCCTCCCTTCCTCCCTCCTTCCTTTTCTCCCTTTTTTCTCCCTTCCTCCCTCCCTCCCTCCCTCCCTCAACTTTAAAATTTTATTTAACAACAATACAGTAGAAACACATTTATTTCCTTTTTGTAAAAAACTACATCAACAGTGCTCAAAGCTTGCTTTATTTTTTAGTGTTATTATAATCCCTTTTATTTTATTTAAAACGGGTATTTTTAAAAAAAGATATTACTTATGAATGCACAAATAACTATTGGGGTTAAACAATTATTGCTCAATAAAGCATTAGTAAAAGATACCAAGTAGAGTGTGTTAAGTTGGTTTTATGATGTAAAAAGTATAAAGAATAGAGGTAAGTATTTAATTTCTGATTTCCTCTTTCTATGATTCCAAACAATTTTGCAATACCTAATGGCTTAAGCTTTAGAATCCATACTCTGGAAGCACAAGCTATTTTGGATGAGATAGAGACAGAGACAGGTTATGAATGGACTTATAACTATAAGGGAAGTTTCGGAAGCTATAAAAAAAAATAAACCAGGAAGAATATCTAGATCAGGTAGATTATCAGGTTTTATTATACATGATTTCAGGATTTTACAACCTTTACAAAACACGATGAACTTTATATTGCAGGGAGGAAATATGCTGGAGAGTTGGAAAGAGGTCAACAGTAGAACTAATATTTAAAGAGGGGCAAGTTTGACTTTAATAAGAAACTCTCATTAAGAGTGAAAACAATTTTGCAAGAATTTATATTTATTATTATTATTAGATTCATATTCCACATTTATGTTTGTACAACTCCTATTTTCTCTGCAACAAGCTGAGGGAGGGAGGGAGGGAGGGAGGGAGAGAGAGGGAGAGGGAGAGAGAGGGAGAGGGAGAGAGAGAGGGAGAGGGAAAGAGAGAGGGAGAGAGGGAGAGTCACCCAGCTGACTTTCATGCCTAAGGAGGACTACACTCAGTCATTTGTATGCTAGACCAGCATCTCAACCACTACAACAAAGTGGTTCTTTATTTTATCTTGTGTATGTGTAATGAATAATTTTAACCACCAAGAGTTATTTGTTAATCTAATGGTATATAAATTGTAATAAATAAATACGCAAATATATACACAAATGTAACATGTTCTCCAAGGTAAAAGTGGGTATAAAAAAATAAGATAAAAATAAAAGATTTAAAGAATTTGTACCTGGATATCAAAATAAATTAAGAAATATATTGAATATTAAATAATAAGCAGCCATTGATGATACTTAAAATTCAACCCAGGCCTAGAAAATCCATGAAGTGTTCCACAGGATTTCAGTGATTTAAAAACATACTTGAAATGTACTGTCTAAAAATGATATTTATTTTTAAATAATGTATGTGTGCATGTTTAAAATTAATGATTCCCATGATATAACTGAGGTCCTCAATTCTCTTTTAAATGTTTATCTGTTAAGCTTGTCATATGCCACATTAAGCTCCCACCCAAGCCAGCAACCAATCTCTCATCACACGGGATAGGCCTAAGAGCCTCATTTCATTCTGGAGAGAATAAAATCAAAAGAAAAAGCAACAGCTGTGATCTCTACTGGATATAAGACTTTTCAGTCCTACCAATTGGCTTCTTCTTACACATGAATTCCAACTTCATGATCTGCCAATACCTGACAGGGAACCTTCAATAACATTCGATAGTAAGTACTAACATCATCATCTTTGTAGTTTTATGAGGCTGTTAGCCGCCCTGAGTCCCATGAGGAGAAGGGCGGGGTATAAATTAAATTATAAATAAATAAATAAATAAATGAAACACAACAATATTATTTTTAAAAATGTTCTACTTTATTTTGCATCACATACAAGTTTCGTTATATTACTACAAGCAGAATATGAAATCCTAAGTACTTAATATCAATGCTGAACAGTTGGGGACTTGTGAGGATGTGTTGCAAATACAGCTTGCTCAACATGAAATGGATGAACACCAAAACTGAGAGTGCTTTTTATTTTATATTTCAATTTTATAAAGCTTATATACCTATTAAAATAACCTTGGACAGGTCTCCAAAACCATCAGTTGAAGTTAGAGCACTGCAACCATCATAACTGTGAATCAGTTGCCAAGTATCTGGATTTTGATCACATGACTATGGGGAATGCTGCAACGGTCATAAGTGTGAAAAAAGGTCAAAGTCACTTTTTTCAGTGCCATTGTAACTTTGAATGGTCACTAAACAAACTGTTGTAAGTCGAGGACTACCTGTATTGGGCAGCTGTCTGCTCATCAGAGCACATGGCTACTCTGAGAAGGTCTTGGGAAGGGGGTGTCACTCTTTAGAACACTAATGCAGAAGTTAAAAATGCTTTTATGGAATTTTTATGGAATTACAATCCTTGTAATCTGCCTCACATGTAACTTGCATCTGTACAACTAACCCATTTCCCCCTCCCTCCCCATGGTAGCAAGACAGTGAAATAGATTCCTCTAATGGTGTTAATGCTACAAGTTCTTTAGCTATAGGCTTTTCAGGATTGAGACGCCTTGAGACCATACAAAACAATTCCAACTGTAGCTCAGTAATAGAAAATGACCATATTGATTAGGCATAGGTTTTTTTTGGGTCTGGTATAAATTGCAGTTGAGAGCTCTGAGTCATAGGAATGGGCTCCAGTTTGGACAATGATCCACACCTTAGTGTGAATGAAAAAAGAAGAAACAATGACCAGCCCAGTGCCAGGTCAGAACAGAAAAAGAGAGCGAGAGAATGAATGCTAATTCATTAAACGGCAGGTATCTGTTGGGGATAGCTACTGGAAAGAGCTATGGGAGTGCTTCTATTGGCGAAGTGTAATTTAATAATGGGTTTTTTTCACAAATGGGGAATCCATATTTGGAATGTGATGCACAGAGACCAAAATTAACAAAAATAATAATTAAAATGTATAAAACCAAAATAATTATTAACTGAGAAGATTAAAAGAGAAAATCAATTCCTTCTTTAAAAATTGTAATATGCTACCCACCCCCCAACTATTCAATCCAAGGACAGCTTAATTGGGAGATATGTCTCCCTTTTCCTCCAATTAGAATCAAGAAAAAAAAAGCCAATGTTACTTAAATCGGGGATTAATCAGACAAAAAACTTAGGCAGAAATAATATTCTTTAGACCACAGTGACTAAACATACAGAGCTACAGTATATTTCATACATTTTGCTAAGAAGCAATGGCAAGCTTACAAAAATGTTGTTTGCGTTTTCAGTAAAGGAAGAGTGCACGATTTTTCTCGGGCAGAGGGCCTCATAATATATTGTCTCTACAAATCTTATCAGATAAATTGGAGTCTGATTTGGTAAGGTAGCATCAATAAGGGTTAAAGCAATCAGCTATAACATGAAATGTACATACAGTTGACAATCCAGGTAATGATTTCAATAAATTGTATTACATTCAAGTAATATTCTCACATAAAGTATACATGGAATGAGGAAAAGAGTTCAGTACACTATAGAGAGATAATTCCTATGCCAGCATTGCAAAATAAAAAGTAAACAAAGCAATTGCATTTTATGTGTTTGTCTGCTTTACTAAATTTGTTGGCATGTTATATAAATGCACCCTCTACTGGATCCCAAAATTACAGCAACTATCCAGATTTTAAGATAAAGATAAAATTTCTCTGAGCAAAGTTCACTTTATAATAACTACATGGGCAAATTCGTGTTATTTTCTTATTAAAAAATATGGAAAAAAGTTCCCCCTTCCTTATTGTAGGATTTGTTTGTTTGTTTTTTAAAAAAACTAGTCTTGCCACCATTCCTGCAGTTTCCTAGTGGTCTTCCTGTTGGGATATATAGATGACACCTGGTTCTGAATATATAACTGACAAGCCAATTTCACCTTCATCTGAATTTTATTAGCCTTATTTTGCAACCTGAAAATGTAGGAGAATGGCAAACACCTTATCCTGGAACATAAAGTAAGATGTAAAGTCATTACTGTAAATCTGCTTTAAGGGTCTAATATCTGTCCCCCAAAAGAGATCTTTTTGTACTTTTGGGTCTATTGTGATTACCCAAACTCTACTGACACCATCCTTCTTGTCAATTGTTATTTGGCTACATAAATTGTTATTTGGCTATGCTAAATGTATTTGTTGTTAATATACAAGTTACTTCATAATTTAGTAAAAGTCACAGGGTTTTCAAATCTCAAAGACTGGCTCCCAAATTATTGGCATCTATAATATCCTTCTTACATAAAAGAATGTTCCCAGCAGTAGTCAGCTCTGATCAGGCTTACAAAATAATTTTATTGAATGAAAAAGAGAGAACTATTTATTTTCCTTATCTGACCATCAGGATAGCATATCCTTCTCCTATCTTGAATGGAATGCTATCTTAAGCCAAATCAGACTTCAATTCATAAGAATGAAAATGTTTCCTTCAGGGTTTCAGGAAAGAGTCTCTTCCAGGTACCAGGAGTCAGTCTGAGTGGCAAATGGTACATTTTGTCATTGAAAAAAAATAGCACTTTCCTGCCAATAAATGAATCACCGTGAGGTTGATCTCCTTGTTGTGTTCCAAAGAGTTTGAGTGGTGCTTAAGAGGCAGATGACTAACTTCCTGGCATTATGTCCTTTGATGTGCTGTCCCTGAACCAATCCTTTCCCTATGCCCATAATAATTATTTTTGGGAAAATGAGTTTTTCTTCCCACCTTGAAACAGAGAAGTAAAATCATGAATTATTCCCTTTGTTCTCCCAAGTACGCAAGATTCTAGTCATGATTTAAAAAAAAAAAACCTATGAGTTTAGAACTTACCAATAAAATCCAAATGTACAAGAGACTATCATAAAATGCATGCTGCTGGGAAGCAACCACTGAGTAAGTGGAAAATATGAATTTGTACTGCCTTACATAAAGACAATTTGTGACTCACTTGAATCCAGGTAGCCTTTTTACTTCTGAGACACAAAAATAATACCGCATCTATCACAATAACATTGGACGTAATAAAAGGGAACATTCTGTATTGGATAACAAGTTTTTTTTCCAAGTTTGAATGAACGCAACCATTTCCCAGCTTCTTCTGATTCAGTGTGAAAAACTCAAAAAGGTGCAAAAAGCTTCCTACTGATAGGTTTTCAGCAAACTTAATTTTTATTCTAGAGAAAATCATACATAAAGTTGTTCCTTACAGAAGTATTCAGGATATTAATTTCTGAATGTTTATAAAATAAAAAAGAAATGACTGTCCTCACCTGGTGTGTACACTGTCAAGTAAAGGTCCACTTCTTGCCTTTAATTGGTCAATTTCTAGTCTCAACCTGTCAATTTCATCAGACAGCCTCCTCTGTTCAGAATAAAAGCAGAAATTGTTTCTCTACAATTGCTACAGTCAACTATAACTAATCTTCAAATTAACTGCATTTGTGAAGTTAAAATGCATGCAAGCAGATAACAATGAAACAAAGCAGGAAACAGAAAAATACTAATGCAAAGAGTCAAGATAGAAAGATAGAAGTGTTTCTGAAGTGCTATCCAAAAAAGCTGAGAGTCTGCTAGAAAACAGTCTTTCAGAGAAGAATCTATAACTAAATATAGAATAAACCTAATCTATGTGACCTGTTTATCTAACTTTTTATTGAATGTAAATCTCAATAATATATTTTCTAGATTATGATTTTGTACTTAATTTACTTGTGGTTCATTTGCATGGAAGTTAGAATTATGCTTTTCTAATCAGAAAATGAAGCACCAGGTGCTTCATTATACAACAGTTACATTCACTGTTGGTTATTACTATGTAAACTATCAGCCATGCTAGTATGACTATTTGATATCTTCTGACTGTGTTACTTGAAGATATCAAAAGCAACTCTGATAAATATGCCTGGTATTCCTTACACAAGGTTTAGTAGTAGCATTTACCTTGTCATGCTGCTGCTCTTCAATCTGTTTTTGAGTATTTTCCAATTCTTGCAACAGTGTGTTCTTAAAAACCAAAAGATGAGTAGTTAGAAACATAAGGGGCCTAAGATGAGATCGTAGAAAATAGACCCAATTACCATCAAAACTGACAGCGTTTGAAGATAATTTTTTCTCAGATGGGCAACAACTAGATTTTCAGTCCAGAAATACATATATTTATTTAGTAGGACTAGCTCTTCACAAAAATCAACCAAATGACTGTAAATCAAAAGTACCTTTCTTGCCCATGAATGTTCAACTGCATCTCAAGCAACCAAAATCTGACTTTTTGATAGCGTGTGTGTGTGACTGTGTGTCACGCACATATATATGCAGAGAAATACATGATAAGTTTCTCAGAAACTCACGACGTGAATATGGGTCAATGAAATAAAGGGATTTCAAAAAAATTTTAAAAGCCAGAATTCTATTCCATTTTTATTGCAGCGGCTACTAAAATCATACTTTCATAGTTCATGATAAGAACAAAGAGAAAAATCCCAGAAAGGAGGCAAAGTCTTGTAAGAACCAAGGCAGCAAAGAGTCAACCCCTCTAACCAACCTGTCCCCGTGCTCTAATGCTCTGCAGCAATAATAATTTTCTAATATTCCTTTTACATACAGTAAATCACTGGCTTGAATACAGCTGTTACACTTACTACAGGCAGTCCTCGATTTGCAACCACAACTGAGGCTAAAATTTCTGTTGTTAAGTGAGATATTTGTTAAGATAGCTTTGCCCCATTTTATGACCTTTCTTGCCACAGTTGTTAAGTGAATCACTGCAGTTGATAAGTTAGTAACCCGGTTGTTAAGTGAATCTGGCTTCCCCATTGACTTTGCTTGTCAGAAGGTTGCAAAAGGTGATCACATGACCTTGGGACACAGCAACGGTCATGAGTATGAACCAGTTGCCAAGCATCTGAATTTTGATTACATGATCATGGGGATGCTGCAAAGGTCGTAACTGCGAAAAATGGTCATAAGTCACATTTTTCAGTGCCGTTGTAACTCTGAACAGTCACTAAATGAACTGTTGTAAGTTGAGGCCTACCTGCATTCAAAACATCTTATGATATGACCCATCAAATGTCTTAGCTTCTTTTTTTAAGTTAGATTTTTGACGTTATGAACGTTCTAGTACCATCTTAGTTATCAGCAAAATTAATTTTCCTATTTGAATATAAAATAATAAAAAGATCTGCACTATACCTTTTCTTCAAGGGCTGCCATTCTTTCTTTAAGATGAAGCTGAAGTCTCTCATTGGACTCACTCAGCAGCCTGTCCACAGTATCAGAGAGCCTCTTGTTATGTTCCTCATTCATTTTTTCCCGTTGACGGGCCTGGGGGAGATATCAAGATCAGCCAAATATTCCCAAGCAGTTTGCTCTGAGACAGCATTAAAATTAACCTTAATGGTTCAAGAAAACAGAAATTACTATTCACTATAACTAGCGCATTATAATGTAAGAAAATGAACAATGTCATGGTCATTTTACTGACTGGAAAATGTTAAAAGAGAACTCTACCCTCTAATTTTTTTTAACTTACACCAGTTGAGAAAACTATAAATATTAAATGCACTGAAAATCAGAGATAAGTTGCGCTATAATTTGAGCACATATTTATTCTAGAATATAATAATATTCAAAACATTTATCTCCATTAACTATTGTTGAAATTTTAATTAGCATATCACAGAACTATAGGGTTGGAAGTCTTCTAGGACAGAAATCACAGGCCATTCCAGACAAATGGCTGTCCAACCTTTGTTGGAAAACCTCGAGTTATGGATGGAATCACCCATAATTCTAGATGGGAGGGAGGCTGTTCCACTGCTTAATAGCTCTCAGAGTAGGAAATTCCTCCTTATTTCAAGTTTGCATCTCTTTATACAAAGCTTCTATCTATTGGTTCTTGTCTTACCCTTGGAAACTATGGTGAATAAATCCACATCCTCTCCTAGTATTCAACTATTGGAAGATTGATATCATGCCTCACTTTTGCCTATTTCTTTAGGCTTTACATACCCACTTATTTTAATTACTCTTCATAGGATTTAGCCTGAAGCCTCTCAACATGACTGTATTTATCTGTACTCTCTTTCCAGTTCTTCAATATCCCTCTTGCATTATGACAATCAAAACTAGATATAGTATTCCAGATGCAGTCTGACCAGATCATCACAGGCCAGAAGTATCATTCCTCATGATCTCAATATTACTGATTCAGGCCAAGACTGCAACTTCTGCTAGCTCATGATTAATCCGTATTCTATATGAGGGGCCATAACATGACATCTCAGAAGTAAGACAGATCACTTTGCTTGAGGCAGAAACAGGGAAAGGGAATGTAGAAATAGAGTTTCAGACAGAAGTTGTCATAGATGGGACCATCTATGGTTTTTAATAAGAGACTGGACAGCCACTTGTCTGAAATGATATAGGGACTCCTGTTTGAGTAGGGGGCTAGATAGAAGACCTCCAAGATCTCTTCCAGCTCTATTCTTATTATTCTTATTATCTGATATTATAACATTAAATTAATTAAATTAAGTGCAGCTAATTATTTAGATAACTACACCTAACACAACTATACTACATTTGCATACAGTAAACATGGAATTTAAGTGATTTCTTCTATTGCTTCAGTGCCACAGATTTAACTACACCAGGGGTAGTCAACCTTGGCTCTTTTATGACTCGTGGACTTCAACTTCAACAGTCCACGAGTCATAAAAGAGCCAAGGTTGACTGCTCCTGAACTACACTGTAACAACCTATCGCTTAACCATAACTTGAATGTGGCTGAAGATATAAAATGTGGACTATCTTTTTTCACAACAAGCAATCTATGTGATGCCACATTTGTAAGTAAAACGTTAATATCATACAAGCAAACATAACAAGTAACACCAAATTACCATTTTCAATTTGACAATACTATGATCTGAAATAAAATAAAGCTACATTCTCTAGAGAAAACAACTTACCCGTGACAATTCTTGGTTCTTCTCCTCCAGCTGAGTTTCCAGTTGCCGCAGTCGTTCTTCAATACTGCCATGCCTTTCCTCAGCCTATATTTAACAAAGACATTATCTAAAATGGTGGTTCTCAACCTCCTCAACCTGAATCCCACCAAAGTAAAAAAAAAAACCAAAACACTGGCTTTTTAAAGAATATTTGTATATTTATATGTCTTCTGTTATGATATTCATTGATTATTGTAAGTTTTAACTACATGAAAAATTGTTCTTAACAATAATTTGTACAACTATAACTGTAAAACAAACAGATAATAAACACTTTCATATGAGCCTATGGTTATATTTCACTGACTAGTATCTCAATAAAAAAAATCTAATATTTATTTTCATTGTATTCTGGAGGCTCTCTTTATTTTACTCCAGTGTTAGAAGAAAGCTGATTTTCTTCTGAGACATTCAAACAATCAGAATGAAGTTTCTGTTTCAGTCCAGATATAATTTCTGGACTGAAATATATACCTTATTGATGAGTCAAAAGATCAATCTTTGTCCAATAAACAGCTTCTTTTAGCTTATTTCATTGGCGGCAACAGCTACAAGTGGGGAAGGCCATTCTGCCTGCTATAATACTAAAACAGGAAACTGATTGCTTGCCCTTCTATCAGTCTCTCTCATTCTTTCCCATGCATTCATTTAAATACAGGTAGCCCTCGATGTACGATCACAACTGAGCCTAAAATTTCTGTTGCAAAATAAGACAATTATTAGTGAATTTTGTCCCATTTTACAACCTTTCTTACCACAGTCGTTAAGTGAATGATTGCAGTTGTTAAGTTAGTGACATGGTTATTAAATGAATCTGGCTTCCCCATTAACTTTTCTTGTCAGAAGGTCGCAAAAGATGATCACAGGACCTTGAGACATAAAGAGGAGTCAGTTGCCAAGCATCTGAATTTTGATCACATGACCTTGGGCATGCTGCAATGGTTGTGTGAAAAATGGTCATAAGTCACTTTTTGCAGGAACTTCGAACTGTCACTAAATGAACTGTTGTAAGTCAAGGACTACCTGTAAATTAATCACATCCTATCCAGGGGCTATCTGTAGCTCATCAGTGATACAAACATTACCTATTACTAAACACTGCTCTAAGGAATTAACAAATCAGTTGTGGAAATGTGGGTTGGGAAAAATGGAGAAGACTTGTTCTCATACAAGATCACACTTATAGGTATAACTAAGCATCTGGGATATAACCAATGTGGATTTGTTTTTGTAAAGTATTTGGAAAGGCAGCAAATTATTCTCTGAGAGATTCTAGAAATAGACCTTCTCAAGCCCAGGGCACAGACATGAGTTCCTTGTTGAATTCATTACTTTATGGTTGAGAAAGCTTTTTGAACCTCACAGCACATATTTCCTGGGTAGTTCTGGTTTACATCAAGCCTTATGAGTATATATTTTATTCAAGAAGTGTACAAAATGCTCCCATCAGATTCCTTATATGCATCTACGTGCAAATAACTTTATAGCAATACCAAGGACTTGGTAAATGGATCTTAATCCCAAACTAAAATAAGCACACAAAATGTCTGACACTTTAATGGGATAAAATGTGCTTTAAAGCAGGGCTTTTCAATCTTTTCACCTACTGTACCACTTTTAGGATATGGCAACATCCGAGTACCACCAGTCGCCTAGCAAGGTGTCAAAAACTTGATGACCAAAAAAAAAAAGGAAACAGGTGATAAAGTACAGGTAGTCCTCGACTTATAACAGTTCGCTTAGTGACTGTTCAAAATTACAATGGCACTGAAAAAAGTGCCCCCCAAGCCACTGCCAAGCAAGAGAGCACCCGGCGGCGCTCTTCCTTCTGTCTGAGGTTTTCATTGTTGTGAGCATTTCTGTTGAGGATTGGCAGCGGGAGTGGGGTGGGGGGGTGTTTGGTTTTTATTCCCCCTGTCTGCTGAGTGGTTGCCGCAGGGTTTGGTCACTTCACATGACCCCGGGACACTGTGACTGTCATAAATATGAATCAGTTGCCAAGCATCTGAAAGTAAATCACAAGACCCTGGAGATGCTGCAACATTCCAGCTGATCGGCGCTTCTTCTGGACTCAGCAGAAGCGCCAGGATCAGTGCTGCTTTCCAGCTGATTGGTGCTTCTTCAGGGCTCAGCAAAAGCACCAGGATCAGCGTCGAGCTCCAGCTGGAGCCTGGCGCTGATCCTGGTGCTTCCGCTGAGCCCTGACAGCCCCGAAGAAGCGCTGATCAGCTGGAAAGTGGCACTGATCCTGATGCTTCCGCTGAGCCCTGACAGCTCTGCAGCTCCAGCCATCTCTCGCTCAGACTTGTGCGGTGCTACACCAGTTCAGCTCATTCCCCTCCCCCGCTAGCACTTTTCTAGGATGGCCGCGTACCACCTGCCAGGTGCCAATGTGCCACAGGTGGTACCCGTACCACTGCTTTAAAGCATCCTTGGACAGCAGCTACTGCCCTCCAAATCTGTGTGCATTAAACAGTAAAGCCTAGTATAATCCACTGAAAAGTTCAGCACAACCAATCTTACCTAAATACCAGCATAGGAGGCAGCTATACACAATCTGAATATAAATCGGATTTCTCAATCAGTTCCAAAAAATTAACTCAAAATAACCCAATCCAGTGTTTCAGCTATTCAGAGCCTCAGTTTTTCTGATTTGGACAGCATCAACTATTTGAATCATATTGGAGCTTAATTGTACATCGCTAGTAGCTACTTCTTAGGATAATTATGTCCCTAAAAGAACTTTATGTTAGTCCAATTGATAATGCTGAGTTTTTCATTTTTTTTAAAACAAAAATCAATTTTTAGAAGACAAATGAGTAGTTCATGACCCTTTCCAACTTGCTTTCCATCCCAAGAAAGTCATATTGGCTGGACCATCTAGTACAGTGGTTCTCAACCTTTTTAATGCCGTGACCCCAACCGGTCGTAAGTCGAGGACTAAACCGGTTGTAAGTCGAGGACTACCCAACCGGTCGTAAGTCGAAGACTTTCCCTGCCCGGGAGCGCCGCGCATGCGTGGTTCCTCCCCCTGCACCGGCCGAGGCGTAGCTGGCAAGCGGCAGAGACGGAGCAGGCCAACCACCAGCTGGCCCAGCTCAAGGGAGGTAAGGCACCCGCCGGAAAAGGGGAAAAAAATGGCGGACAGCCTTGCTTGGCGACCCCCGTGAAATGGTTGATCGACCCCAAATGGGTCGCGACCCATAGGTTGAGAACCGCTGATCTAGTATCCTAGGTTTTATTGAAAGCTCATTACAGTCCTGTCTACTTGCCTTGGTAAGAGCTGCTATTCTTTGCGCTAGCTCAGCTTCCACCTCAGGCAGAGTCTCAGCTTTCCTCATTGTCTGCTGCAGTTTCTGCTCCGCCAGCTCCAGAAGCTCCTGAAGATGCCTGGCCTTCTCTTCACACTGTGGAATGATGCAGAATGGCAGCAATGTACTCGTATACCAGGAGCCAGAAATGCTAAGGATAGTTCCAAACAACGCCAGAACTCTGTACTCTAATGCATATATTCCAACCAGAATCAAAGAAAAAGCTTGAAAGCCGGTTTTCATTATACATGCTTTTGATTCTGACTTTAAAAAAGCTGTATATCAACATTTACTGCTACAGGATTGTGGAATATTTATATTATCTTCATTAGAACATGTTTTAATCCTGTGTAAAATGTTCTGAATTCAAACACTCTGACTCCAAAACACCCTGTCTCTATTCTAACTATGTAAGACAATTATTTAAAATATAAAATAGACTGTTTTGAGCATTTTACATGGTTCAACCTGAAACAGGGTGTTTTGTATTTGAAACAGAAGTGTTCTCAGCTTAAAACATTTCTGAAATGTTCAAAATGGAATGTTTTGACCCAGAATGTTTCAAAATCAAAACATTTTGCACACCCCTACTAATTTTATATATTACAAAGTTTCTTCATAATGGGAGTTTAGCAGATATCTTTCCAAATAAATAAATAAAATGTTAAGCACAGCAGCAAATTCATGCAAAAATTTTAAAATTACAGTCTTGTAATTTTAATACTCTGAATATTAAACCACTAAGGTAAATGGATTTGGGCCCTGTACAAAACTAAGTTTAATATTAGGTATTGCTTGGAACCTGTACATAAAGATCAGGTTCTCCCACATGAATAGGCAATTTTTTAAATGTTCTACAATCAGCAAATAGGGCTTTTCAATTGTGATGTCCCATTTGGGAAAAGGTTGCATGGTACCTAATTTAATAGCCAAGGAATCGTTGGCAAAGACAAGACTTTAAACATTTTTTTACTCAAAGAAACTTTTAACTGTGTTTACATGTAAATATTATTTTAAAATTCTGTAGTTTTATTACAGGTTTATGTGCAAGAATAACTAAGCCCAATTGTTCACTTGAACAGCACATGCAGTACTGAAGTCATGAAGGCAAAATAGTAGTGCTCTTGGGAAAGAATCATCTCAAAAAGAAGAATATCTAGGAAGAAAATTCTGCTAAAGAGGCAAAATGGGCATTCAAAAATAGAGCGCGTCATCCATGAAGCCCTCTATCAGATTGACACTGGCATTCCATTTGCCATGATATTAAACCCCATTACCTGGCGATGGAGAGAATCTTTATTGGCAAGCTCATTTTCCAACTTGTCATTAAGGTCATGAATGGAAGTGGCTTCTCTCTGGGCTGCCAGATAGCGTTTCTCTAGGGTAGTTATCCTCTCCTCCATGTCTTCTTTTTGTGCCAAAGCCTGGGAAAGAAAATATTGAAAGTGCAGGTTTACTTCTACAATCGAGTCTAACATGATCTAGTTCCATTGTAAATCAGATTTACCCTGTATCCATTTTTCCATTGTTATAGTTGGAAGTGGGCAACAAGTTAAATCCTCTGATATGTGGCAGCAAATTATATTCTACATATCATTTGCAGCTGTAGAATATTTGTACATTATTGATTAGTACCTTTCACTATCTGTCAAAGATATTACCACAGGGGGCTTCAAGAAGCAAAGGGAGATTATCAATGAAGAGAGGCTGGTAGGAAAAAAATGTAACCTGGATTTTCAAGAACTTGCACTAAATATATAAGGAACCTGCCAAGCTTTTTCAAGAATTTTAACAGAATATTCTAAACTAGATTAGCTTTCTGGGAGGGTTTAGAATAATTTTATAATTTATCACTTCATAACTAAACCCATTTCTTCAGTTACTTCAATAAACTCAAGCTGCTATTTGGCTTCAGTCTAGCTAGAAAAACTGAATTATTTTAAATTAATTTAGAAGAGGTTTTTTTTGTACTGTATGTCATCATTTTCACAACTGGAATTTAGCACTCTGACCTCTCGTAGGTCCCTCTGGTACTTGCTGCTCATTTCTTCAGATTTGATGAGGTCCCTCCTGGCTGTGTTTAGATCTTCTTCAAGCTCAGCAACACTGGCAGCCAGACCAGCTAACCGTTCTTTAGCTTGCGCTAGTTCAAAGTTTTGTTTCTCTAGAAGCTCCTGCAATTCCACAATCTGACTTGCTTCATCATCTGGGTGTATAGAGCCATTAGGGAGTCTCTGTCAAGTAATATAGAAAAAATTCCAATTTTTCATATCAATGGAGAATAGATAAATTAGAATACTGAACAAGTGTCACTGCATGTTTCTAATATCTACTCAACAAGTGCCAAGGTATCAATAATTCTATTTGTAAACAACATAATAAGGTGGGTTTTTTCTTCCATTCAATTGTGTCTGATTCTCAGAGGTTGCCTGGACAAGTTCCTGCAATTTTCTTGGCAAGGTTTTTTAGGTTTGCCATTGCCCATTTCCTAAGGCTACAAGTAAGTGACTAGCCCAAGGTCACCCAGATGGCTTTGTGCCTAAGATAAAACTAGAACTCCCAGTTTCCTGGTTTCTAGAGTGATTCCTTACCCACTGCACCAAACTGGCTCTATACAAGTGTATAGCTCTACACAATATACCTTTTGAAAATAAAGTGTCTAAATCAAATGAAATCTTAGAACAATTGGGAAACTGTTCAATCAGCCTATTTCAAAATTTTAGAAACACAGCAAAGAAAACACAAAATTTGCCTACGGGCTAAGGACTCCCATGGCACATAATTGTCTAACTCACAATTGCAGGACAGTATTTCAATAGTATCTTGGCCATTATCCAGTTCTCAGAAAGTTGCCTCTTACCTTCCAAAGCATTTTCTGCCCAGATTCTTTGCCCTCAGTCCTTTTTTCATCTTCCCCTACAGGTGCTTCCCTTTGGGAAGATCCTTGTTGAAGAGCATTTACCTGGAAAATACATATTCAGTAGAACTTACAGTTCTCATAAACATGAAAAAAAAAAAGCAAAACGCATTTATAGAACAAGGGACTTGAAACATTTCTGACAGTTAAACCAATATTTTAAAAGCTTTCAACGGAGGCGTACCTACTTTTCACTTATGACAAATTATTAGATAGAACAATCCACATCCAATAAGTTATTTTGTACAGTTTAAACCACATGATAAAATAAAAGCATGCACGCATTTAACTAATCTTACTCCTTACATTGCTGCCAACTATTCTGTCATGTTCTTTTTTTTCTTCCCTTTCTTGGATATGACACTGTCTAGATCTCATCTATTTAATTTGCACCCCAACTAATCAAACACACCTTCCTCATCCTATTTTTCCCACAACAATAAGCTTGTGAGATGGATTGGACCGAGAGTCAGTGACTGGCCTAAAATCATTATTATAATGACAGATCACTCGCATTTTTACATTAGGCTTTGTTGCTCTATGCCATGTGCTTGTGGTAAACAGAACTGACAGATTACTTGAGAAACATTCCTACGAAATCTGGGATAGAAAATGAAATGAATATTTACTTGCTGGTGGGCACTGGACAGCTGTTCTTCTAGTGTCGCTACTCGTTCCAGTGCTGCTCTTAGGCGTTCTCTTACCTGAAAATGTAAAGAAACTGAACCGTTATTTAAAAGGGAAACTGATAGAGAGGTTTCTTGCAATTTATTGGACTAAGGTGCCAGATTTAAGAACACCTAGCATCTGAAACTCCATTTCATAATACAAACAATTTAATGAGATCACTCTCCTCTCAGATTATTTGCTGGAAGGGTGCAGAAGTGTCAGCAATAGGAGCCTGGATCACATTCAAATAACAAAGGATTCTCTTGTGGGAGACTATGATCTTTCATATAATGACTTGGTTTGCATCTGGAAAGAGCACTGTCTGTAAGCATAAGCAGATTTCATAAAGTTGTCTCAATTAGTATTTTTCAACTTCAGCAACTTTAACATGTGTGGACCAACTCGCAGAATTATCCAGCCAGCATTCTGGCAATTGAAATATAGAGTTGAATTAGAGTGGAAGTGGACTGCTGGAATATCCCTTTAGAGGAGACTTGTACAAATTCAGTTTTGACAGTAGCTTCCTGGAATGTAAAGCAATAATATTTGAGAATTTTCTTCAAAGAGCAAAACCTTTTAATATGGAAATCATTCAGTGGAATGATGAAAAGATGCATAAGAGAGCTCTAAGGAAGTGCTGAGCCAAAGCAATACTAGAGTTCACAACAACTTTGTTACTTAAAAAGATTCTGAGTTAAAAACAGATGGCTTTATTAAAGCTAAACTTTCTCCCACAAAACTAACCACCACGTAAGTCTCACCTTCTCATCCAATGCTTTATGATGTTCAAATAAAGACTTCAGGGCTTTCAGAACTTCAACCTCACTGGAAACCCCTGACGGAGACTGAGCTTGCCGCTTCACTACAGTCATCCTCAGAGAGCGTTCATGCCTCGAGACCAGGCACTCCAAGTGCTCCAACAAAAGCTGAAAATCAAACAGCAACTCCAGTTATTCCTTATGTAAGTCACCATAAGCAAGAGGAAGCCTTCAATCCTTGATTTGAATAATTCCCAGGTTTAACTGCAAGGGCATTTTCTGCACCAGAAATATACTGTAGACATCAGACTAAGGCTGAAGTCTTAAAACCTACTAGTTAAGATTTTGTGTATAAAAATAAATTAATAAACATGCATACACTGAGAGATTGTTCACAGGTAATGTAGCACAGGGAGAGATGGGTAAGCTTTTTAAAACTATCCTCGGATTAATTCAGAAATTATCCTCTTTTTTTAAAAAAAATGTATTATAAGATGATTTATTACATTGGGGTCCCCAAAATGGGGGTTGTAATACCCTAAGATGGTTACAAGCTACAAGGAACAGGGTTTTTTTTTAAGTTCATCAAGTTTGTGCAGGCAAAGTGGGAGTATTGTTAAAATTCACTCATACTTTGTTTTGGCAAGCTTACTTTGGTCTTGTGCAGCCAAAACTGAGACAAAAGCCCAGACTGAGTTTTGAGAGATGGCTAAACCCCTGAGTCTAGCCATCTGTCAAAACCATTTGCCAATCATAACAGCACTGTGTCTGGCAGATGGTTTCCTGCTAGTGTGGCATGTAGTAGTACATCCAATCTTTGAAGCATCTCTAAGTATAGAATTAGTGAAGTTCAATAGTTCTATTTCTCATTTTAAATTTCTAGCATTTCAAATGGAAAATGCATTGATGTGTAGCTGAGAAAGCTAACAATCTTCCAGTAATGCTGAAAACAGTAAACCTAAGCAAAGAAAGTAATGTGAAAGTTGTGCATCTCATGCCCAAGTTTACTTTCAAAAGAATCTTTACGTATATTCACGGTAGTCATATAAATTATCATTTAAAGAGTTGCAGTATCTCATATTTTAAGGACCTCTATATTATATTACTTAAGGTATGGAAATAAAAATGGCAGGCAAAATAGCAATTTTCCTTTCTAGAACTTGGCTTTTCTTCAGAGACTGCCTTTTTTTTTGTTCAATTGTGTCCAATTCTCAGAGACTGCTTGCAAGTTTTCTTTGCAAGGTTCTTCACAAGTGGTTTGCCATTATCTTCTTCCTAGTGCTGAGAGAGTCACCACCCCAAGGTCACCCAGCTGACTTTGAAATGGAAGTAGAACTCATGGTCTCCTGGTTTCTAGCCTGTTCCCTTAACCACTACACCAAATTAGCTCTCTCAGAGATTGCCTTTAACAAGTCCCTAATGTTCTTTGCAGTGGTTTACAAATACTTGAAGGACTGTCACAGACAGAAGGGTACGAATTTATTCTCCATAACTAGACACGGTCCTAAAGTGCCTCTGCAGGTATAAAAACCAAGCTGCATTCTAAGAAGTACAAAAAAGAAGGCCAACATTCTATAGAAATTACACTGGATTTAACAGAGATTATGTTAAACCCTGTCATAATAAAAAAAAAAACAGAGAACAGTAATATCAAATATTACTGAAGATGGCAAATTCTACAAAAAGCTTTCAATCCTCTTAAAACTTGGGGATAGAGAAAACTGCACATTTTCTGTATGGCTGTCGATTAGATAGAGTCGGGGGAACCTCAGAGAAAGGCAGACCATGCTGCATCTCAATTAACCTCGGTATTTAATTCTAGGTTCATTAAAGGAAACCCTATGATTTCTTTCCTTTTGGCCTAGAACAATGCACAAATCAGGCCATTCTGGCACATTCAACAACTTATGATTAAAGCCTGGCTGAATGTTATCTGCAAATGTAAATGTTGCTGTTGGATAAACTACCAACAGAATGGCATCCAGCGTAAAACCCATTTATTACTCACCCGCGTATTGTTGCGTTCTGCTTTCAGCTCAGAGATCTCCTCTTCCCTTTCCAACAGCTGCTCTCGACATGCATTGAGTTCCCTGGTCAATGTGGCAAATTCCTGCAAGACAACCATAAACTCCACAACTGAGTTAGGCTTCAATAGATTTTGCCTAAAGAAAAGTAATGCCACAAGAAAAGGGAATTACACCCCTATCCTTCCCCGCCTGCCTACCTAAGAAGATAATAAAATATTTCAATTACCAAAACTGGATTTTTGTTACACATCTGATTATGAATTATAAAACCAGCTGAATAAAATGCATAGTTGTTCTTCAGCAAACAAAAAGCAGCACTTTTATTTATTCTGACACTTATCAGCAGGTTTTTATACTTCACAAGGCATTCAAGTGTTCCAAAGTTACATTTATTATTTTAGTATAATCTGAAATGGCAGTAAGACTCCACTACCATCAGTACTTCTGCCCTCAGATCCTCTCCTATGTGAATTCAAGAAAATAAGAAACAGCAGGTAAAGAAACAGCAGTCTGTTCATTTAAGACAGTTTACTAGTAAGCACATTTTTGGTATATAAAAAGTGCATTTTTGTAGCAGAACAATACATAGTTGTTGTTGTTTTGTTTGTTTGTTTATTTGTTTTCCCACCAAGCAAGATTTGGATCAGCTTTCTGAAAGCCTCTGAGTTTTGAACATAGCTTACACTGGGGCCTCTCTTAATTTTATTCACACAACAAACCCAAGAGGTAGCCTGGGCTGAGAGTGGCTGCTTAACATTATTCTATGAGTTCTGAGCTTGAATTTCGGCATGTAAGACCTTAAGATGACCATAATCATTATGCTGTATGGATTCTGTGGTGTTTAAAATGGCGTAAGCATCTTTTTCTTTATCAAAGGGTAGTATCACCAGAAAAGGAGGGGACAGCCCTGGTGTGAAAGATTGTACTTGCAGGCCTGGTGTGATAGGAGGTGCTTCCACCCACATGCACAGAGATATAGTTGACTGGTGCTCTTGGCTCTCATGTAGGGATATCCAGATCTCCCACCCTCAACTGTCTTGCACCCTCCTACAATTTCTGGGCAAGAATCGAATCAGTAAATATTGCCATTATCCACTTCATTCCAGATAAAGTTCTTCTCTGCACTGACTTATTTGGAGAGGGCAGAAGTACGGTAGCAAACTATCTCTTCTGCTTTCTTTCCTTCATTACTGCTTAGCCAAGCAGCCAGGCAAATGATACAAGTTAAATTTTCTATCAGAACAATTCAATAAGAAATGTAACACTTTCTAATGAGTAGCAAAGTTAAGGAACTAAATGGAAGATAAAGCCAGAAAGAGAAAGGGAAATAGGAGAAGTAACAATTGAGTCTGTAGGATTTGTCTCAGTGGCTGCTCCTCTAGACAGGAAATGGATACTATATGCAGAATACATAAAACAAGGTACAGCTCAGATCATTTCCCATTAAACAAATTAAGGTTGTAATTTGCATCAAGCTTTTACTAATTCCTAGACTGATTATTGCATTCCCAATTTCCAACTTCTGTGGAAATGGAGTGCTGCTTTTCTAGTTGTGAACCAGCTGGGAGAGATACTCTGTTTTCCCATGAGAGGAAATCACAAAACCAAGACAAAATTGATTTTGCCACTACCATGCACGCTCTGAGGGAAATCTTCTCACTGCTGATTGCTCTTTAAGGGCATCACTCTAGACTGACAGGTTAGATGTTGTTTTTTCTCTTATGTCTAAACCCTTTGGGATGAGATGTTTTTCAACTTACTACATCTGGCATTCCATGGTGGCCTCCCATTCAAATACTAACAGTGATTAGCTTTTAAACCCAGACAAGATCAAATAGGTGCTGTCACCTGCCAACGTGAAAGAACTAAACCATAGTTCATAATTGATCATTTGCCATTGAATGTTGGTGACATCGTCCTGGGGGAAGAAGCAAGAAATTCAACAAAAATGTTCTGATTGCGCTGCCCTCTTTGACATAGAATATTGTCTCTGACAGTGCAAAGCTACAGCTGCTCTTCAATGAAACTTTCACTACTATGACACACTAATTATTTCCAAGAAAATTTGGGTAACTAGTCTTTTTACCTTTTTATTAGAATGGCGTTGCCAGGTATTTGTCAGTTAGAGAAGCTGCAATGATGATGACTCTGTTAGAGATGTAAAACATTTCTGATGATGGAGAGAAAGGAAGCTAAAAACAATAGCCATTTCTTACTTTCTCTCACTTAAATGTTCCTTCTATAATTTCAGAGGACTTTCAAAAGTAAATGACAATTGGAGAAATTTCTACAGACACAGATTACCTTAAAAAGGGCAGAAATAAACCAAGCAGTGTGCAAAACAGGGAAATACAATAGAAACTATTTTGTGAGATTCTTGATACTTGTGAAATACTTGATTCTCTTTGGGAAGGCATTAATAAATTGTACTTTCATAATAAGGAGTATCTGAAATAGTTCAAAGTGCTCTTAATCGGCCATCTTTCCCAAATGTTAGAATGCAAACAAGAGAACAGCATTCATATAATCAGCTTAAATTTTCTCTGGCTTGATATTTTGGTAAAATAAGTGTAGTGTAGCATAAGAGATGAGAAGGGAGAAATCCTCCTGTGTGTGTCTTTCACTAAGACAAAATCCAAATACGTGTATATTACAAGTAGTACTTGGTAAGAAAAATTAGGAAAGTTAACACAAAGAGTAATTGTCTGATTTATTATACTGTAATGTAAGTAATAGCAGGCTGACTTTCAAGGTAACCTTTCAACTAGAGATCCTTGCTTGCATATTGTAATGTGAATATGCCTGGGGTAGAACTGCATTTCATTTGTGCTTGAGGCACAGTAACCAATATGTGCCCAACTGATGGGTGTTATGTCCTTACTGTTAAAATGGAATGCTGCATCTGACATGGTTAAAACTAAGACTGGTAACCTACTTCTTGATGAGTGGTGGAGGTCAATATTCATGAGCCCATCGGTTGACGAAGATGATTTATGGAAGATTGCAACTTGGACTGTAACAGAAGTAAATGATAAAGCATATGAATTAATGAATGAAATGAAAGAAAGAAAAACAGATATATTTTTGTGACTGTGCAACAAAAGAACGGGGAATGGTAAAATAGATATGAATGAAAATGACCTGATTTAAAGCAGTAGAGTTGATGAATACACGCAAGGAAGTGAAGGTGTAGGTTTAATTATGAACAAAAGCACTTAAATATATCTCAGAAAATATGATTTGGTATCATCTAAGTTACTGTGCATGTGTGTAGGAATTCATAGGTAGTGAAATTTATGTGCAATAAAACTAATGAATGGTGATAAAAGAAACTCAAAGATCATTTTATGAGAAAACTGCAATTTTCTGAATGAATGCATCTCAGAAGCAAAAGTTATTCCTTTGAAGAGATGAAAGGATTTGTCAGAAAGAGGTGAAAGAGTAGAAGAAAATTGTTTGGGACACCCAAAGACCCAAACCTGAAAGAATGATGACTTATGAATAACTGTTTTAAGCAGTTGATAAGGTCAGCTTCAAATACATGATTAATATATGTATTGCCACATGTACATACAAGAAATGATTGATTCATTCACAAGGAATGGATCTAAAAGCACAATTGTTTGATTAATTAAGAAACAGTGAAAGAATTAGTGAAGGATACTAAGATGAAGAGAGATTGTACCATCATTTGGTAGAATCAAAAACCAATTTTGGGGGGAAATGAACATCCAAAGAACTAAATTATGTTAGAATGAAAGGAGAATGACTACAGGAAGAAAAAGGTTGATTCCTATTTTAAAGTCTATTAGAGGATAAATTAACAAAATGATTGGCAAATAGCTGTAAAGAAAGATAATGAAATTGCTTGGAACAAAATTAAAATAATCATGTTACAAAGTGCTAGAGAAACACATGGAGTTACGTTAATGGGAAGTATGAAAAAGGTTGTTTGATGGAATGATTAAAAGAAAGGGAGGTGGATGAGAAAAAAATCATATGTAGGAGAATAACCGCTGCAAAAAAATGAAGGGAGGGAGACAGAAGATTTATGGTGGAATCACCAGCTAAAGGAGAAGGGAGCTCCTCTAGGAGGAGTGGAAAGACATTCCAGCTTGGAGTCAATTCAGGGGACAAAACATCTGAGGTCAAACTCTTAGGTTTATGTCTGCCATTTCCCAAGGGAAGTCTGGTGAGATTTTTGTAATATAGGTAAGCAACAATAAAGTATCTACTTGGGCTTGTTCATGGAATAGTTCTGGTTGTTTGCACCTGGCCAATCAGATGTTTAATGAGAAAAAGGTCATAGCAAAATATATATCAAAAGGAGTTAGGAACTAGTTACGGTACGTTTTAATGGAAATAAAACATTGTTTGGAAATCTGTGACAAAGGCTATGCAGGAAGGCTTCAGAAAAGTAAATAGAATTAAAAATAAAAGTGGTTGTAGGAGATGATCAAGCTGAGCCGAGGAGTCAAACATATCATCAGTCTTGAGTCCCTTCTCACCCACAAGAGGTCTAAGTACAACCCATTAACTCTTATCTACTGCCAATTTGTTTTGAGTTCAGATTCTTGTAGAGAGGGTAAGCTTGCAATAAACCTTTATATTCATTTGAACTGCTTGGACTTCTGATTTTCCTACGCTTGACAGTGGTGATAAAATTTGGAATGCAATTGAAGTGAGGGAATGTTGGAAAGAGTGTTTTATAGATTTCTATCAGAATTTATAGAGTTGTAGTAGAATTGAAATAATTGCTATAAATTATGAACATCAAAAATGCTGTGAGAAAGTTGAAAAATATAAGGTTGCAAGAATAGATGATATAATATGGAGAAATACTAAAATATTTGATATGATTTGCTTATGGAGAAGCTAGGTAATTAGCTGTTCCACCTTATTGTAAGTACTACATCTATGTCTGATGGTTAAAACTATATCATTATTATTCCCTTGTACAAAAGGAAGGGTAGCAAAAGTATTTCCAAAAACTACAAAGTTATTATTTTTTTCTTATGAATGTCAGGAAAGTTTTTAGCAGAATTTCAGGACATATGAAAGTTGCTTAAAAGAGAATAGTGTG